GTGAGGACTTCTATGAAATACTACATGTCTGAAGCCTCATTATATGAAAAACTCACTAACATCATCTATTTGTCAAAAACGTGATAGGTGAAGTTCTCCAGGCGGGGTTTGAAGTGAAAGTTGTAGTTCCCCATCCTCTTTCTGTAGTACGAGAGTGCTGCCATGCCGATGGTGACAAAAACAAACAGACCGACTCCCAGCAGAATGAAACCGATGATGCGCGTTCCCTGAATAGCCTCTTCGAGGGTCACTAGAGGGAAAATATAATGTCATAAGTATTCATTATGAATCATACCCTATTGGTGTGAGGACAATATTGATAATAACTAATAATGTATTGATTAATACTATACATACTGTATGATGTATGTGTACTGTATTTAGAATAATGCACTAATTCACTGTAAGCTTCGTGTTACACCGATGTTCCCACAGTTAAGAGCTGTTAGGCACAGTGTGCAGCATTAATACAGAATTTAAAGGCATCATGAATTTACTAATAGCTGACACATAATAAATTAATTAATCAGAGAAGAATCTGGAAGATTGTTGCTCACCTGAGTGTGACCTAAGCAGAGGTCCGCATGAAGCTTTTGCTGTTCCAATTACATTAGAGCTTCTGGTGCTCCTCGCCAGGCAGCTCTAAGATAGAATAAGAAAAAGAAATAGAATAAGTCTGTCTCATGATATATAATACATAATTGTGATATTTTTACATAATATATATATGAGACCATAATTATTTTTCTACAGACTGTGATTTGTCCTAGATTTGTTCTGTTTAGAGTGGAGGGATGGTGCAGGGGGGGTACAGTGTAGATGCAGCGAGTGTACATTGTAGGTGCAGTGGGGGTGTTGTGTAGGCGCAGTGAGGGTACAGTAATGGTACAATGATGTACAGTGAGGGTAAAGTTAGGGTAAAGTGTAGATGTGTACAGTGCAGCTACACTGACATAAAGTGGGGGTACAATGAGTATATAGCGAGAATACACAGTGAGGTTACAGTGATTGTGCAGTAAGGGTACACTGAGGGAGCAGTAAAACTACAGTGCAGGTGTGGTGACAGTACAGTGAAGATACGGTTTGGGGGCAAAAAAGAGTGCAGCAAAATTGCTGTGATGGTTCACTAAGGGTGCAATGACTGAGGGTGCAGTGGGGGAAAAGTGTAGATGCAGTGAGGGTACAATGAGAGCACAAAGACACTAACTATATCACCACTGTACTTCAGTAAGGGTACAGTTAGGGTACACTGAGTATATAGTCAGAAAACATAGTGAAGGTGCAGTAAGGCTACTGTTTGGGTGCAGTGGCAGTACAGTGTAGGTGCAGTGAGGGTACAGTGTAGGTGTAGTGAGGGTACAATAAGTATATAGTGAAGATACACAGTGAGGTTGCAGTGAGGGTGCAGTAAAACTACAGTGCAGATGTGGTGATGGTACAGTGAAGACCCAGTTTGGGAGCAAAAAAAGGGTGAAAAAAGGTGCAGTAAAATTGCAGTAAGGGTGCAGTAAGGGTGCAATGACTAAGGGTGCAGTAAGGGAAAAGTGTGTGAAGTGAGTAAAATTAAAGTACAGTTAGGGTTCAGTGAGGCCATAGTTTGGGGGCAAGAAAGAATCAGTAAATTTGTAGTGAGGGGTAGATGCAGTGAAATTGCAGTGGTGGTACAGTAAGGGTGCAATAAAGTAAAGAGAGTATAGTGAGGGGCACAAAGGGTGTAGAAAAGGTACAGGAAGGGTGCAAGGATACAGTGGGGGTACAATTCAGGTGCAGTGAGAGCACAGTGATGGTACAGATTGAGATGGGGACCAGTGAGGACATAGCTCGGGGCCCAGAAAGGGTGCAGTGAAATTGCAGTGAGGGTACAGTTATGGTAAACTGAATCACTGAGGGTACAGTGGTGGTGCAGTGAGGGAACGCTCAGGCCAGTCTGAAATCAAGGCGAAAACGAGACACACTCACAGGTCTGCAGGTGGCCGACGCTGTCTCGATGCAGATTTGGATCTGGCAGTGCAGATAAATAATATCCAGGTTCGCCATAGAGAAAACATTGACTGCTAGCAGAGACCTGGTGGAGTTCCCGTTCTGAATCACGGTGGTGTAGGTGTTCGGAAGAGGACAGCTGAGGGGAAAAGACAGCAATACTAGCTCATGGTGTTCATCCAATCTCTGCTTCACGTCGGATACAGTCGTCTCTGTTAACTGTGTCTGTTCTGTAATACTGTGCCATAATTATTGTTCGCATCCCTGTCTTGATACCAGTCTGCACTGCAAACATGTTATGCGGCAAGTCTTAAATATAGTAAATAAATCATCATACATTTCTCATCATAAGACTTTTGTAAGAATAATAAACTTACTTGTAGACAGTTTTGCTTGTTTTGAGTAATGTTTGTCTAAAGAAAGTGTGTCGTTCCATTGGCAGATAATTCTTCACTCCTGAGCAAAAAAACAGGTCCAAATATCATGTTTTTTACTGCTGGTTCTGGCCGGTCGGAGTCCAGATTTAAACCCTATAGTGAATATTTGGTCTCACATTAAACACAAACCAGCTCTGCAGTGTTTTCCAGCTGTTTGAAGCCGTCAGTGCTGAGTGGATCAATACTGACTCTTCTTTCTGTAAAAGACTGTCTGCAAATTTACACAAAAAACTATAAAATTTAAAGAAATCAAAGGGAAAAACTCTCACTTATTAACTTACTTTATCTGTTTGTTTATTGGTTGGTTGATAAGACCACTAAAAGCTTATGTTTTGCCATTTTGGGCTTGGCCCTTTTTATTTTTTTGCTCAGAAGTTTAATGGTTTCGAGAAATAATTCAGAAAATTAAAAAAATAATAATGCTTGAAACAAGTATAATTATCTGCCAATTAAATAAGACACTTTCACTAAATAAAATGATTTAAAACAAATAAAAATGTCCAGAAATAGGTTAAATATTCTCATAATATCTCATAATAAGAAATATTAGATATATTGGACATACACTAGACTCAAGATGATATACACTAGACTCACATTTTGCAGTGTGTGTATTTATTTTAGTCCTTGGCTGTGTCCAAAATCACATACTGTACTGTAATAAGTGTAGTGTACTATTTTGATATGCTATATTACAGTTGATGAAATCACAGACCTGTTTTCCAGAAAGAAGTACTGGGGCGATTCCGATGGGTTGCTGCTGGGATTCGCCCAACATTTGTTGATGACCACTTTGATTTGGGAGACACTGGAATTCACCGCCACCTCTATGATCACCTCGTCCTTGGGGGAGAGGGTGTAGTTCTGCGGTAGAGGAGTCGTCCCGTTCAGCAGACGCACGGTCACATGGAACGTCCCTGATCCCAGCACTGCACCGTCGATCATGTCTAAGTAGCTTAAGAAGGGATATAAACATTACACTAGCATTGCATAACAATACATTAGTAATCAGCGAAGGTGCTAGACACTGTTTTAACTTGAAAAGTGTTCTGAACAGGTGTGAATGTTTATTATGGTGTGTTTTCATTGAAATTTAGGTTTGGTGCATCTGGAATTCAACTGTAAACATTCACCATCCATCAGAGAGGAGTGGGAGCAGAGTGGGAGCAGAGCAACGTGATTGTGCTTATTGGCTCTGAGCATCAGTGTTCTCTCTTGCTCCTAAATCGCTTCAGTATCGCTTCATCCCGTGAGCCGAACAGTCCTTTTTTTCCCACACTGAGTGTGTTTACATGCACTTAATAATCGGATAACTGCAGAAAATCTGATTTTGTTAGTAATCCAATCCGAATGAGGAAACTCCAGGTCTACATGAGTCAGACAGTAAAAAGATTTCTGCTTTACAACCAGCCAGTAAACTCACAGGAGAAGACGAGAGGTAAACGTAATGTAAAACTTTATGCTGCAGCTTTTTTTAAAACATTGCGCCGCTTTACCTGAAAAATATGAAGAATATCTAAATCCCTCAATTCGTCAAGCATGTAGTCAATTTCATCATCACTGCAAATGTTTTTCGCTGCGTGTCGCGGCGACGCTGCTCACTTATTTCCAGTCTGTTTTCACACATGGGCAGATTGAGAAATCCGAAAGAAATCAGAGTAAGAGTTCACATGCACTGAGAAATCTGACTACTGAGCTATAATCCAGCCTCTTTATGAGATTTCTAGATCAGAGTATGTTGTTTACATGACCGTTTGAATAACCAGATAACTGCAGAAATCCAATTATGATTTGATTATTGAGTGCATGGAAACGCCTTGACTGCCTCTGTGTGGCAGGAGTGATGCAGCAGCGACTCTGCAGCTCACACACGACGGCTGTTCATGCACAGTGTCTGTGCTGTAGAGCTGTTCAGCAGAACTACATACTGGAAATTCTCACCATCACAACACAGTTCTACAGACATCACACATAGTCTCGTGTCGTCCATTTTGGTGTGAGAATGATAAAACATTGCAGTGTCTTGTCCACTCTCCTGCTCTTGCGTTCATGTTTATAGAAAGAAAAGACATCTGGTTTATTCCACCGCTGCAGCCGTCATCAAAAGTTGGGAAAGTTGCCACCAGCAGCAGCACAATCTCCAATTGTGGCTCCTTTAAAAAATATGTGACACCCAGCTTTCTGTCAATGGTTTCCTGCCATCATGAACGCATTCTGAGGCCGACTTAACATGGTGCAACTTTCATGCTTTCATTCAATTAGTTGCACGTTGCAAGTTGCATGAAACTTAATTTCAACACAACATGAAATCACTTTTAAAAATAGTTGCATGCAATATTCAAATGTTCCACTAGATGGCACAATGATTGGCTAGGTAAACAGAATATAGCCATTCTATTTTGCCAACATTTTAATCATCGTTTCTGTGTGAAGAATGGAGTTTGCTAAATAAGCTAACTCAATTGAAATGATATCATCACATGGTACGTCATGTGTGTTCTGATTGGCTGTTCCACAAAGTTGAGATAGTTGCGGCTGTTGCAAATGAGTTTCAAGTGAGTTGCAGGAGGCCTTATATCATGCAACACCAATAAAATGTAGCTTTGTGTACATTTCAAGCAACTAAAGTTGCGTGAACGTTTCACAGCCTAAAGCCAGCCTTAGCTATTCTGGAAAATCTGAGCTGTTCTAGAATTCTTGGTGGATTCTAGAACTCTCCATTCTAATTGTGGTGCAGTGTATACCACCACTATTTTCTCCACTGTGTTTACTGCAGGCTAAAAGAGACAGAGAGATCTACAGGGTCCGCAGAGGCGGTTGCTATAGCAGCCGGGTACCTGGAGGACTCGTATCCCGTGGAGATGATGATCTTGTTCATGTAGGTACAGATGACTGGCACCTCGAGCTGTGCAATTGGAGCAAAGTTGGGCAACACCCACATGGTCATGTTGTTGTAGAGCATGACCTGGACCGTGGTGTTCTCGGTGTTGTTCTGAAAGACACAAACGCCAAAACAACTTTAGACAATGGAGAATGAATGTCCTACACCTTTCCATTCCTGCTGTACATTAATACTGACACAGAACTCCTGAACAGTGTTGCTGACAGAAATGTTTTCAATTTTATGTTAGACAATAAATCTTCTTTCTGTTCCAACAATTAATACACAGTTTTCTCTCAGATACTGAGTAAAACCTACGAAAGTAGAGAGAGTAATCAGTGGCTGAGAAATCATTACCAATCAGCATTCAGTAACAGTAATGCTAACCAATCAGTGCCCAGTAGCAGTAATGCGAAACAATCAGTGCTTAGTAGAAGCAATGCCAACCAATCAGCATTCAGTAGTAGTAATGTCAACCAATCAGTACTCTGTAGCAGTTATGTTAACCAATCAGTGCTCAGTAGAAGTAATGTTAGCGTCCTGCTGCCCAAAACCTGTTTGCTATAGAAAAATGAAAATATACTTTTATTGATTTTTAGTGATTTTTATGTCCTTAACTTTCCAAAATGACATAAAATTCCTGCATGATGGCCTGAAAAAATGTTAAATTCACATTTTTCAGGTTAACTACTCTAGCTGATCCACAAACATATACTATATATATATATGTGTATATATATATATATACATCCTCTGGCAAAGTGACTTGCTGGCACACAGATAAAGGACTTCATGTAGAAGATCTCATCAGCTTCCAAAGTTAGCATTAGCTCATTAGCTCCTCTGAACAGGCAGCTTGCGTGACTCATTATACAAAAAAACCTTCTAATTTCCCTCGGCTATTTTTGAATAATAAAACATGTTTTCAAGTCTTTTTTTCCCTCTTTCTGTTGTTTGCAGTTAATCCAATATACGTTTTAACTCTGATGGACACTCAAACATCAAAATGAGTTGGAATGCACATCCCTGGTTCTCAGTTTTAATGCAAAACAGCCACCATATGAACCAAAAACTGGACTGTTATGCCACTTTTCCACTGCATGGTATGGCTCAACTCAACCCCACTCGCTTTTGGTTCCAGCTACTTCATTTTCCACTACAGATATAGCGCCCCCTCAATGTAGCCGGACATTATAGTAATGCTAGACAAATTAAATGAGGGCGCGGTGAGTTGGTGGAGTTCTACTTTCATATCGATTCACCCATAAAGAAACACTCAGTCTCCCTGTCTCTCCTGCTCATCAGCACCAGCCTGTTATTAGTATAAGAACCGGCTGAAACGGCTGAGCAGGAAACTGTGTTTATCTAGAATAAAGAGCCAGACGGACTCGGAGGAAACTGTCTGTCTGTGTTGTTGAAGGAGAACCTCAGGCAGGGTCGTCTACATGGCTATCGGGGCTCCATCTCCCCCCATTCAAAGAAGGCATGAAGTTTCACAGACAGCGATAATGATGATCAAAATGATCCACAGAGAGACAGGAGTGAGTGGAGCTCCGGCGCCAGGACAGCAACCGAGACCCCAACGAGTTATGGCAGCCCCACTACTGTACAGCAACCGAGACCCCAAAGCGTTATGGCAGCCCCCTACAGTACAGCAACCGAGACCCTAATGCGTTATGGCAGCCCCCCTACAGTACAGCAACCGAGACCCCAACGCGTTATGGCAGCCCCCTACAGTTAGCTCCCCTACAGTTAGCCCCCCTACAGTTAGACCACTTTAACTTTTTTCTCAAAGTCTACTGTTTTTATATTTATTAACAGTGGCCCTAAAACGCCGTCGTACAGTCAAGTCAGTGGTCAGAGTACCAAGCAGCTTTAGACTGGCTGGCCTTGGTTTCCTCTCATGTTGTGGGCTGTTATCTATTGAAGGCTTACTCTATGGATCTGCACCCCACACTCGTCCCAGGCCACGATGAGCTGCACATGGGTGCTGTTCACACCCATCTGGCCGCAGTGTGGTTGGCCCAGGTACAGCGAAGCCTCTGAGATGCGTTTCAGTCTCAGGAATTCCTGTGCCACGAAGACGGCGATGGATCCGGCCCTACAGTTCACTGAGATGGCCTCTGTTTCGGAGATGATTGGTGTGTGGAGGAATGCAGCGGTGGTCGTGGTAGTCGTGGAAGACAGAGGTGTTGAGGGTGACTCTGTGGTTTGGCTGTGGTTTGGATGCTCCAGTGTTGTAGATGATGCTGTGGATAAATGTGTAGATGATGTTGTAGATGATGTTGATAAGGTGGAGATCGTGCTGGTGCTGCCTGGAGCAGAGGTGGGAGCATCTGTAGTTAAAGCATCAGGACTTGTGCGGGTCACATTGTCAGCATGTCCGGTCGTTGTTGCAGACGTTTGGGTCGTAGATGCAGATGACTCGGTCACGTTCGGGTGTGCAGTGCTGGGTTCTGTCACATTGCTGTTCTCTATGGAGACAGAAGAACTGGAGATGATGAGAACTGAATGGAGTCTGCCTCAAAACACCAGATTTCAGAAAAGTGCCTCGCTGAGCAGCTCAGATTTGCTCAATACTCTATTAGAGACAGTTTATAGTTCATACTTCAAATACATGTGTTTGTTTGTTTACTTGTTTGGAACTGGGAGTCTGTGCAAGATTTTAGCCTTGTATCTTGAGAAATAAACACTAGTAGAGGTGGACATGACCTTTAATGTTGTCTTAATGAGCTAATTTCACCACAGCAGCTGACTTATACGGCTTAGAACAGCATTTCAGTCTGATATCTTAAACATACAGTCGAGCTCATGATATTAACTTCACATTTAGCATTAATTTAAATGTGCTCTTTCCAACTGTACCAAGTATTTTATATTCAATTTTGTCAAATATGAGAAATATCCATTTAAACTATAGTCAGGGTATTATTTTTTTATTTTTATTTCCTTTTTAATTGCTCATATATTGAAAATCTTTGTTACTTTAAGAATAATACCCAACTATTACAAGAGTAATACTAGATAGTATCTACTAATAGATACCAGAATTTAATATATCTGATATACTTCTGATGTGCAGATATTGATGGCCAAATTGCTCCAGTGCACATGAAAAAAATCTGCCATAAATTGGAAAACATTTATCACAGTAGTTGCTGTTTTGGTAGGTAAACAGAAAATGTATTGGCTTTCATATGAATAGTTCAGATAAAATGACTCGCTAAATTTCGAATCATTTTCTCTGCTGCTAATGAAAGACTAAAATTAAGGACTTATCCACTTTTTAAGGCCTCTATATCTCAGAAACTACTGAAGGCACAAGCCTTAAATTCAAGAATTGCACTTCATAAGATTAGATGCAAATATAAACATCTAGAAATAGGCAGAAAAATCTTACATGCAAAGTGTTAGACGAAAAAACCTTTTGCTAAAATTGAATATTAAATAAAACTTCTCAAATTAAAAATTAATATTATACTTAATTAATTCTTCATTATTAATACTTAATAATTATACTTTTTTACTAAAAAAAAACTTTTAAAAAACTTACTTTACTTCCTGTCACTATTAATGTATTAAATATCTATACCCTATATTATTGTTTTCAATGTTTTTTATGTATATTTATGTACAATAAAGCGAATGTAGTTTGATCTAATGTCATTCTCCTGAAATTAAGCATTACATTTATCATTTATTGCCTACATTCAAGAGATTTTCACCCCTAACGATGTAGTGTTTTTGCCTTGAATAACTCAAAAACTTAACCAGCAAACACAGCTTTGAACAGCTGTTCATACATAAAATCATCATATTTTTCATTAAGGCACACAAAAAGTGCTGAACTGCAAAAAAAGTTCCACACTGATTTTCAGACTTTGGGACACATTTCCTTTGGGAATCTAACTGCTCACCATGTGGCCATGAGGGACAGGGATGCAGCCTCACTTCTTGCTCTAAAATGCAGGGGCGTGGCTAAAATAAGGCTCCGCCTACAGACTAAAACTCAGTGTTCCGTTAGTGACGAGCATTTTTTTAATAAGTTTAAACGGTAGAGGATACGCTTGTTTATTAAAGCTGCGCTATGTAAGTTTTGGGGGTTTGGAGACCTCTCTGGTGGAAATGTGTAACTGCATGCAGTTGCGCAAATCTGATGATTGAAAGAGAATTCAGAGAGAACTCAGTCTAAACTTGGCGAAAGAGCGTCTTCTGAGGATGAGAGTGAATTATCTACTATTGTCCTCACATCTTCATCAGTGTGATGTTGGTTTGGAGACTTAAACATCGAGCTGGAACTTCTTTGTGTGTGCATTTGTGGCGTTTAAAGCCTGTAGAACAGACCGATAGAACTTTCCACCGGCTCTGAGTGGATCTGGCGCTGCAGCTGAAGTGCTGCTGTACCTTGGCAGGTGCGTCCAGGTCTCGAGGGGTTTGCGTCAGTGTATCCTCTCTGACAGGAGCAGGTGTACGACCCAAAGGTGTTCACACAGTCGGCCCAGGGGGAGCAGTCGGCCTGTTGCAGAGAACACTCATCCACATCTGATAATGAGGAGAACGCGTTAGCACAGCTCATTACACAAACAACCTGCCGCACAGCCACAGATCAACATGCAAGAAGGTCACAGGACTTCATCACATCTATCCAGAGACTCAGGACACTTTTGAACGTCACAGTTAAAAAGATGGTTTTTTCTGGGTTCTTTAGTAAAGGCAATGGTTGCATTTAGGACCATGAGTTCTATCTAAAGCCATTTCATGCTTAAGTCATTCTCTGCATGGTGAATTGATGGAGAATGTGTTGTATACCGTTCTTTATGGCACCAAAAAAGGCTCTTCTATTGTATACGAGCTTGAGATCGTAAAAATAGCAGAACCCTTTTTGGTGCGATATAGAACCATATACAACACATTCTCTATCAATTTAAAGAACGCTTTATGCAAAGAACTACTTAAGCTTGTTAAGTTAGACTGTCTGGTTACTTAATTTTACCGAAACACATTTATAAAGAAATGAATCAGCACTGTGGAGACTGGTCCACACACGTACAAAGAAAATACCTAGAACTTGTTGATTTCAGTGTGATTTAGTTATACTGTCTTAGTACTTACTATGTTACCCAAACTTAGAACCTCACAATGGGTACTCAGTTAATGCCTAGAACTTAGAGGGCTGTAAAACATCACGTTCCAAAAAATGGTGAAACCTAAAACAGATATCTATGTAAAATGTTAAATAATTCAAAACCTACAAAGAAAACATAATCATTTGTATTATTAATTTAAAAAAATTTGATAAGCAGTGTGTTTGGCAAGGCAAAAAAGTTAACACACCCTCAACACGGACGATTATTCTGATCAGCTTTGCTTACCCAAGCAAAACATCTTGTAAAACTACAGTCGAATGCAAAAGTCTAAACACCCTTGGTCAAATTACACAGTACACAGATTTTGTCTGCAATTTTTACTTTTTTCATGTTTTATATTAGCCACTGTGTTGAATTCAGTAAATAAACAGTAACCGTGTGTTAAAAGGTGCGGAAGTGCCTCTGTAGAGGACCTGTTCACTAATTTTAAACTCAGAAAATCAAAACATACATGGAATTTGGCCAGGGGTGCAGAAATATTTGCACAGCTGTAGGTGTCTACACCTTTACTGGGCAGTGTGTTTATAACAGGACCCCACACAACATCCTGAATAATTAAAGCGCTGTGTGTTGATGATAGAATATGAGCCAACCTTGTATAACAGTGCTGTTCCTGTCGATGCTGAACTGCGAGCTGTTCAGCAGAGACTCCATCAGAGCGTCGGCCACGTTTAGGATGTGCTCAGTGCTGTTGGGCAGGAAGACGAGGGCAAAATTGACCACCACGCTGCCTGGAGAGAGTCCAGTGATCTGCACTATCACCTTCCCAGAGCGCACCAACTCCAGAATGTCTGGAGGCAGAGAGTGCAAAGTCTGGAGAGACAGAGGAGAAGATGTTGCTAATAAAGTGGCCACTTAGTGGAAGCACATGGTAGGTGTTTCTAATAAAGTGGCCAGTGAGTGCAGGCACAAGGTAGGTGTTTCTAATAAAGTGGCCAATTAGTGAAAGCACAAGGTATGTGTTTCTAATAAAGTGGCCAGTGAGTGCAAGCACAAGGTAGGTGTTTCTAATAAAGTGGCCAGTGAGTGCAAGCACAAGGTAGGTGTTTCTAATAAAGTGGCCAATTAGTGAAAGCACAAGGTGGGTGTTTCTAATAAAGTGGCCAGTGAGTGCAAGCACAAGGTAGGTGTTTCTAATAAAGTGGCCAGTGAGTGCAAGCACAAGGTAGGTGTTTCTAATAAAGTGGCCAATTAGTGAAAGCACAAGGTGGGTGTTTCTAATAAAGTGGCCAGTGAGTGCAAGCACAAGGTAGGTGTTTCTAATAAAGTGGCCAGTGAGTGGAAGCACAAGGTAGGTGTTTCTAATAAAGTGGCCAGTTAGTGGAAGCACAAGGTATTTGTTTCTAGTAAAATGGTCAGAGAGTGGAAGCACAATGTAGGTGTTTCTAATAAAGTGGCCAGTTAGTGGAAGCACAAGGTATTTGTTTCTAATAAAGTGGCCAGTTAGTGGAAGCACAGGCTTTGTGTTTCTAATAAAGTGGCCAGTTAGTGGAAGCACAAGGTATTTGTTTCTAATAAAGTGGCCAGTTAGTGGAAGCACAGGCTTTGTGTTTCTAATAAAGTGGCCAGTTAGTGGAAGCACAAGGTAGGTGTTTCTTATAAAGTGGCCAGTATATCGTACATGTATAATATACTGTATGTGTACTGTATAATATAATATATGTATAAATATACATGTATGATATTTCCAAATCATTAGAAGTTATTTTGTCAACAGGGACACCATTAATTACATATTTTATTATGTTTTTGTTTATGTTCATGGAGTCCACCACGCTGCTAGTGAAGGCATCTCAAATCCAGACACAATATCTAATATGTCTCATTATGATGCTGCTGTAGGAGAATTATAAGATCATCTCAAGACTATTTTTCTTTATACAAAGGAATCAGGGGGAATTATTCCACTACACTGTAGTTTTGGCTGATAATCAAGCATTATTCCTTTAAAGAAGTAAAATTGCAGTGAGGTAATATTACTGGATAAAATTACTAAAAAGGGTAGAATGTCTAGATATAGTTTGAATAATCTTATAATAGTCTTACAACAATCTCATCTTGAGAAATATAACATATATTGCCTACATTTAAAGTGAGTTCACCTACAACTATGTCATATTTTTGGAGTGAGTTCAAAGCTAAAGCACGTTACGTTAACCTAAGCATTATCATTTCATCAGAATCAACATGTTAGGTTAATCCAGCTCTACTGCAGCGACTGACCCTCTTCGTTTCTCTACGGAGTGGCTCATTACCTCGTTTATGATGCTCTCGGCGAGGGTGCGGTATTCCTCACTGCTGGTGTTCAGCAGAGCCTCAGTGAAGTTCACGTTGGTTAGACGAGTCACTGCTTTGAGGGTCTGATTATCTGAAGACAGAAAGCATTCATACTGTAGCACAGCAGGCTCAGCCTCTGACACTGTACTGTAGAGTTATCAAGGCAGATGTAACTGGATTACGTGTGGGTCCAGATAAAAACAGCTCAGTAAATGAACTATTAATGGGTTACCTTTAAGTACTATTACAGCCATAACATGAAACCCACCTCCTTGTTTCTACACTCACTGTCCATCTTATCAGCTCCACTGACCATATACTTTCACTCTGTAGTTCTACAGTTACAGACTGTAGTCCATCTGTTTCTCTGCATACTTTGTTACCCAGTTCTTCGGTGGTCAGGACCCCCACAGGACCCCCACAGGGCAGGTACTATTTGGGTGGTGGATCATTCTCAGCACTGCAGTAACACTGACGTGGTGCTGTTAGTGTGTGTTGTGCTGGTGCGAGTGGATCAGACACAGCAGTGCTGCTGGAGTTTTTAAACACCTCAGTGTCGCTGCTGGACCGAGAACTAAAAATATCCAGCCAACAGCGTCCTGTGGGCAGCGTCCTGTGACCACTGATGAAGGACTAGAGGATGACCAGCACAAACTGTGCAGCAGCAGATGAGCTATCGTCTCTGACTTTACATCTACAAGGTGGACCGACAAGATAGGAGTGTCTAATAGAGTGGACAGTGAGTGGACACAGTGTTTAAAAACTCCAGCAGCACTGCTGTGTCTGATCCACTCGTACCGGCACAACACACACTAACACACCACCACCACGTCAGTGTTACTGCAGTGCGGAGAATGATCCACCACCCAAACAGTACCTGCCCTGTGGGGGTCCTGTGGGGGTCCTGACCACTGAAGAACAGGGTAATAAAGTATGCAGAGAAACAGATGGACTACAGTCTGTAACTGTAGAACTACAGAGTGGAACTATATGGTCAGTGGAGCTGATAAAATGGACAGTGAAGGAAGATATAAGGAGCACTGTTTTGTCTTTTTGGCTTTTTGTTCCCAAAAACAAAGCATCTGACCATCTCTGCTTTAGAATTTACTGTGTTATGCACAGTTTTGATTGAGTGTGTATGTGTGTTCCTGTAAATTAGCCAGCTGGAAGACACTGCCACATTTACAAGTTGCTTAATATGCACTGTCCTTTATAAATAAACAAATTAATTAATCAATTTATTAACTTATTTCTATTAATAAGCTTGTTAAGAGTTACATACTGTATGCAGGAGGGTCAGTAGTAGTTAGAGTGCTGGTTGGAGTGCTGGACGTTGTACTGAAGGATGTGGTGGACAGAGTGGTGGACAGAATGGTGGACGGAATGGTGGACAGAGTGGTGGACAGAATGGTGGACAGAATGGTGGACGGAATGGTGGACAGAGTGGTGGACAGAATGGTGGACGGAATGGTGGACAGAGTGGTGGACAGAGTGGTGGATAGTGATGGTTCCTCAACAGGAGCTTTCCGCAGCGGTCCTGCGCTGACCAGACTGACATTAGAGATCTCTCTACTGGGGGTGGAGGAGTTACCTACAATCAATATAAACAAACCGTTCAGTGGAGTCAGAGAGCTGCGCCTGCTTCAGAGTCTGCTGTACAATCACAAAACTACATACACAACTGCAATTAAAATAATAATTACAGCAGCAAAATACTGACTATAAAACAGATAGCGGTCCTAAAATCTGATTGGCTGAACTGCATTCGAAGCCGTTGTAAAATCCACAACATATACACACCGACCGCCTCACAACAACTGACCTCTGTAAAACTGCGCCATGTCATAAAAATCCTTGTGCGGTTAATGAATAATCTCTGACTCTAATGCTGCTCACACTGACCAGGCAGTGTACTGATGAAGAAAGAACCCGGTTCTGTTTAAACTTACAGAGCCCCTGAAAGGACGTGTGGTGTATTTGATATTTTAGGGGAAAAACATCAGATACTATCAGGTGAGCACCAGACACTAAGTAGTGAGCATCCGATACTATGTGATGAGCACTTAATGCTATATGGTGAGCACAAGATGCTATCTGGCAAGCACCAAAAAATGTGGTAAATTAATTTTTGGTAGTCTATGGTGCTCATCTGACAGTGTTTGGTGCTCTCCACATAGCATCTGGTACTCACCACATAGTATCTGGTGCACACCACATAGTATCTGCTGCTCACCACATAGTATCTGGTGCTCACCTTATAGTATCTAGTGCTCACCACATAGTGTATGGTTTCGATCTGATAGTGTTTGGTGCTCACCACATAGTATCTGGTGCTCACCACATAGTGTCTGGTGCTCAACTGATTGTATCTAGTGCTCACTACCTAATGTCTGGTGCTGAGCTGATAGTATCAGGTGCTCAGCCCATGGTATATGGTGCTCACCTGATAGTATGAGGTGCTCACCACATAGTATCGACTGCTCATTACATAGTGCCTGGTGCTCACCAGGTAGTATCTGATGCTCACTAGATTTTTACCTAAAAATATACATACATTCCTTCCTGGGTCTTCATCTAAACTGAGGGGCTGACAACTTATTTTCATATCTAGAACTAGGTTGTTCAGCAAGCTAACAGGCTAAAAGATACTAAATATGCTAAACAACTCCATCATTAATATCACAGGCCTGAATTAAAGTACTGTAAGTATGATTCACTGTAAAACTGCAGTATAAAAGTCTAAAAATGTCACTTGAATGTTTTACACAATTCTAATGTCCGTGTTTCAGTCAGAAGTAGCATCAAACCCAGGCTGAATCCCAAACGGCTCCGTACTCCCTAAATAGTGTTCTAGCTATGAAAGTTTAGAAATTCCAGCCTCTACAGCCAAACGGTGCATCATTTATCGAGTGTGGATGAGTCTGAATTCCAAATGACTGTTTCTTAGCTGTATTTTGCTCTGTTGGGCTGCAGGATCCAGTATAAACTCCTACGTAGTGCACTATGTAGGGAGCAGGGAGCTGTTTGAGATTCAGCCCCAGCGTGAGTGCAGCTGGATTGGTGCTAAATTAAATTTGCGGTGGTAATTTGGTGGCCACAAAGTACTTATAAATACTAATACTATTTTTATTATTTGTTAATTAATTTACAGTTAATTACTGGCTACTGAATTGCAAGAGATTACTGTTTTTGATTACTATTTTAAGTACAACTTATAACTGTAAATGCAATTTGTAGCATTACTCACTCGTGCAGTGCGCTCCTGCCGGTGGGAAGGTCACTACACTGTAATGTATTATACTGTACATTGTAGTTTTTTATGTTTACTCACTTGTGCAGTGCGTTCCTGGCCTGCTGGGGTAAAGGTCAGTAGATCCAGGTGGACAGGTGCAGGTGTATGATCCATGTGTGTTGGTGCAGTTGGAATGAGGAGCGCAGTCCTTCAACACCGCAGTCACACACTCATCCACGTCTACACACACACAGGACAGCCAGCGTTGCAGGACATTATTTGGAAAGATTCTTGTAAATAATGAATCTGGTTCGTTTCCACGAAATGCAAAATACTGGGTATCAATCATAGCTAATCAAATCAAATCTAATCAAATCTTTGTTTATATAGCACGCTTCCTACAAGCAGCTTTACAGACTGACACACGGACAAAGGCCCAGAAAACAAATCTATAATCAGGCGAAGGTTAAAATGAAAACACAAGCATTAAAAACAAACCATTAAGATAATAAAACTGTAAAATATTAGATAGAATTAATTAAGAATTAATTAATAAATTAATATAGAATTAATTAAGTTTAAAATATCCAAATCCAAATAATAGTAAAATAAGAAGAAAGAATTGCAATGTGCAAAATTAGAGTAATTAACATTTAAAAAATTATTTAAAATATAAAACAAAATCAAAATAATGCTGGAATAAGATGAAAGGATCAGTAAAAAGCGCTGTTAAACAAGTACACTATTAAAGATTCTTCAGTAAAGACAATGCTTCTGTATAGAACCATATATACCTATATTCTTCAGATTGATGGAGAATGTGTTGTATATGGTTCTATGTTGAACCTTTTTGAAAATGGCACCAAAAGTGTTCTTCTAACGTTACGAAGTCAAGCTTGTATCAATAGCAGGACCCTTTTTGGTGCTATATAAACCCTATCAATCTGGTGCTATATAAACTCCATCAATCTGAAGGACCGTTTCACCATGTAGAGAACTATTTTAAGCAAACAAATAGTTTTTGGAGTGTTCATGGTTCTAGATAGGACCTTTTGTCTTTACTTAAGAACCATTAAAGAACCATAAAGAATGTAAGTCTTAAGTTTCCATTCAAAATGTCCACAGACTGTGAGAGAGAGAGAGACAGCGAGAGAGAGAGAGAGAGAGAGAGAGAGAGACAGAGAGAGAGAGAGAGAGAGAGAGATGTTCTCCTGTGACTCATGAGCTGTAATGTAAAGCTGGTGTTTAATGTTGATGATGAATCATGAAAACAAACTGATTTCAAAACACACACACACACATACTCTTACCGCTGATGTCCACAGCGGTGATCTCCTCAATGTTCTCCAGAAGAAGCTGCAGCCTGGTGGACATCTTAGCATGGGTCAGAAGGTCAGAAAGGTCAGAGGAGCCGAGCAGTAGTGTGGAGGTTGTACTGACCGGTCCAGCAGGCCATGAGGTCACATGGTACACAGAGACTGAAGGAAAACTCAAAGCTCCAGTCACCTACATCACACACACACACACACACACACACACACACACACACACTGTTAACAAGTTCTACATTCACTGGCCACTTTATTGGAAACACCTACCTTGAACTTCCTCTAACTGGCCATTTTATTAGCAACATCTATCTTGTGCTTCCAGTAACTGGCCACTTTATTAGAAACACCTACCTTGTGCTTCCACTAACTGGCCACTTTATTAGAAACGCCCATCTTGTGTTTCCACTAACTGGCCACTTTATTAGAAACACCCACCTTGTGCTTCCACTCACTGGCCACTTTATTAGAAACAGCTACCTTGTGCTTCCACTCACTGGCCACTTTATTAGAAACAGCTACCTTGTGCCTGCACTCACTGGCCACTTTATTAGAAACGCCTATCTTGTGCTTCCACTCACTGGCCATTTTATTAGAAACATCTATCTTGTGCTTCCACTAACTGGCCACTTTATTAGAAACACCCACCATGTGCTTCCAATAACTGGCCACTTTATTAGAACCATGGGCTCTAATTAGATATATTTTTAAATTTGCATCGCAGAATAAAGAAGAACTGTAAAAAAGAATTGTGTACTGATACGAACCACGGAGTGCAGCAGTCGTGTGTGGTTGAAGAGTCCACTGTTGGTGTTCACCAAATGGAAAGGGACCTTCACCTCCACGGTCACATTGAGCCACCCGCTCACATTCACTAACAACACAGATAAACATTATTAATCACTGACAGCATCTGACAGACACGTCTGTGAGGTGATGTAGCAAATCGAATATCAATCAAATAAACTGTAAACTGTAAAAATATAGTTTATTATAGGATTCTAGTAGATGTGTGCAGTAGTCACGTAGCTTAGACTATGGCTCTTGTCCACAGTCAGTGACTGTAGCCAGTATCTAGTAGCTAATCAGTATCTAGAACATCCAGAGAGACTAGGTTCCTGCCTATATGTTTGATTGGTTGATTCCTCTATCCTGTTATGCTGGTCCAGACTTAAAAAGGATGGTTCTTCAAGGCAAAGGTTTTATTTAGAACAATAAGTTCTCTATAGGACCATTTGCATGCTTGAATGGTTCTCTGCATGGTGACATGATTCTTCAGATTGATGGAGAATATGTGGTATATGACTCTATATAAACCCTTTTAGAAAATGGTTCCAGAAAACATCAGAAAGTGTTCTTATATTGTTACCAGCTTGACATCGTCTCAATAGAAAACGGTTCTATAAAAAAAACAAAAAAAGTGTTCTGCTTTACCTTTTCGGTGCTATATAGAACCATATACAACACATTCTCTGTCAGTCTGAAGAGCCATTTCACCATGCAGAGAACCATTTAAGCATGCAGATGGTTTTATAACGAGCTCATGGTTCTAAATAGAACCATTGCCCTTACTAAAGCACCCTTAAAGAACCATGTTTTTTTAAGAGTGTTCTTAACCTAAAGTGTGAGGCCTTCAGTTCAGCTCCTGGAGTCCTAACCAATGGGAGAGCTTGTTTGACTGCATCTGCCCAGATTCCACAGAGAGAACCGTCCTGATTGGACGATTTTCTGCAATGCAGCAGTAACAGTGCGTTCAGTCTGCTGTGGGTTAAAGCTTCTCTAAAGGCCTCTGATTGGCTCAGTTTAGTGTCACAGTGTTTCAGTAAAGCATGGACTAACGTTCTCACCGTGTGTGTGAGGCTCTACACAGTGGCTGGTGTTTTCAGTTTGGCAGCATTTCTGCCAGCCGGGACAGTCCGTGTCCCACTCGCACTGTAAACCAGGCCCGGGGACGGGGCCGGGGCCAGGGCCGGGCCCGGGGCCCAGGCCAGACCGCACTGGACACACTCCAGGTTTAGCAGTGAACTCCGCACTCCTGTTCAGGGCTGACATCAAAAATGATACACCAAAAATAATCTCTGTAAATGAAGTCAATGATACTGGACATATTTAGGATGCAAAGCCTTTACAACCTTTATAATCCTACGATTAATATGAAAACTCATTTATAGATGCTTCGCTGAAAGATAGTGTTACTGAAATATTGTCTATATATATATCATCGCTGTCCAAAGACAAACAAGTATCTCCAACAACACTCTTACCTTTCAATGTAAGTGTGTATATATATATATATATATATATATATATATATATATATATATATATATATATAATATGCTCTTCATAGGAAAATGATGCAAAAAACTTTATTGTTATTAAATGACTAATAACAAACTAGTGAAATACTCTACATACATACAATTTAACTATTATTTATTATATTATTACTTATTATAGCATTACATTAACTATTGCTTATTACAATAAAGGAACATTGGAAAAAGTCTTCTTACTTATAGTTAGATGTTTAATATGTAAATGAATCTTATTTATGGCCTGACAACTCGTGAAATCCTAGTGATCCCTACAGCACCATCTGGTGGTCTTTACTGTGCACTGCACGATCCTTCATTGAAAGATGCTGATGAATTCTTCTTAATAATAATAGATAATAATAAATATGACTTATTTATCTAATATGACTAGTGAAACTTCTGTGGGAAATGCTAACAGCATCATCTGGTGGTCACTGTGTGTTCTGCAGCGTCCTCTGTTGGGCTACTCACTCAGAGCGCAGTAACTGCCCACTTGCTCAAAGCCTTCGCAGCACCTTGTCACCTCTTTCTGGATGTAGTTGACCTCGGTTTTGTAAGTTGTGGTGTAAATTGTCACGTTACATGTTTTCCACGGCAACCAGCCTCCACACGGCCTCAGCTGGGAGGACGCGATCTGAGAGGAGACCACACTGGTGACCGGCACAGAGTCCAGCCCAGAGCACAGGTGGTAACCTGAGAGGGACAAGGCATAGCCTGGAACACACAGAGTAGAGGGTTAGAGCCTTCAGAGAAAAACAGATGAACACATAGGACAGTACAGATTCACTTATACAGTTCATATTTCATCCTGTAAATCTCAGCATGACACCTTTAGTGTTATTTACTGTACAGTAATCCTGTTTCTCTAACTCTCATCCTGATTTACAGTGGGGTTTTGTGAAAGATGCTAGATAATAGAACATATTATTATTATTATTATTATTATTATTGTTGTTGTTGTTGTTGTTGTTGTTTTTGACACCAACAGGCAAGATTTTAAACAGATAAATTAAATGAATGTCCTTTACCGACCTAATATTTAGTTGCTAAAAGAGTAGAAGAGTAGAAATAACACTAATTTTTATTAGTTGGTTTGTTTGTTTATTTTTACTATTATTATTATTATTATTATTATTATATTAACATTGTAGTTATTCTTATGTGAATAGGCAATATCTCAATAATAATTTAACAAAGTTGCAATTATTTTGTGAATTATTACATTCAGCAGATTAAAATAACAATAGAATGTATATGTACGTGTGTTTGTGTGTGCAATTGTATGCAAAAGTTTGTGCATCCCTGGTCTAATAACATGGTTCATTGATTTTCATTTTAATGCACAATTAATGTTTATTTGACATATTAGGAGCAGTAAAAACATAAATTGTGGCCTGTGCAAATGTTTTGGCACATTTGCAATTGAATTTGTTATGTTATTCCAAAGATTTAAACTAGAATTAGCACAACGAATGTCATGTCTAAGTGTTTCTCTGTAGAGGATGTGCTTTTTTTTCACTTAGAAAATCAAAACACATCATTTGACCAGGGGTGCACAGACTTTCGCACACGACTGAACCTGCCTGCTGTCCGTGTGCCAGAACTGTCTTTTGCTTTTTTTGTTAATGCTACATTTTTAAACATTACATCACCATAAATCATCACGCTGTCCCCTCAAACACTGCGCTGTCTGTGTCCTCCTACCTTCCTGCAGGGTGTTGTGTCCTCCAGCGATGCTGAGGAACGTCAGGACCAGCCAGGCGCTGAAGATCCGACACATTTTGCGGCACCAGAAGAACCTCTGTGTGTCAGAACCATGCTAAACCATCGCTTTCCAGTGCTCAGATGCAGAAGCAGTGTTTTAGTTACCAGCCTCACTGTAGCACACCTGCCCCCCCCCCTCCGCCCCCCCCACACCTTCATTCACCATCACTACCACACCTGCTCCCCTGTGTGAGACGCAACACGCACACAGCAATTAATGCACCCAGAAATATGGCCAAAAATAATTAGCATACGGCTCAAACCTGGACTTAACCTGTACCACAGTCAGGATAAACCTTATTATTAACGTACAGTTTCAGGATGGAGCTAAGATAACAGTTATTTTGACATGTGATGTTGTGTGAATGTGCATGATCAAAACCTGTGTATACGGGCTCTACAGGGACTTGAACGTTCGGCTTCAACTGCAAAAAAGTGATTTAAGCGTCTTAAATGTAGTCAATATTATATGTAAATGTTAAAAGTAAATATATACAATTAGATTCAGCAATATTTTACAGCTTTTAATAGTTTTATTACGTTTAAGATGCTTTCACTTAAAAAAATGAAAACATTTTTATTAATCTTGTGGCTTATAATTCAATATGTATTGTAAATGGTTTAGTATCTACTATGAATTATTCAGTATCTACTATGAATTATTCAGTATCTACTGTGAATTATTCAGCATCTACTATGAATTATTCAGTAACTACTATGAATTATTCAGCATCTACTATGAATTATTCAGTAATTACTATGAATTATTCAGTATCTACTATGAATTATTCAGCATCTACTATGAATTATTCAGTAACTACTATGAAGTATTCAGTAACTACTATGAATTATTCAGTATTCACTACGGCTTATTTAGTAGCTACTATTAGTTATTCAGTATCTTCTATGAATTATTTAGTAACTACTATGAATTATTCAGTAACGTCTGTGAATTATTAAGTATCTACTATGAATTATTCAGTATGCACTAAGAATTCAGAGTGAAGAACTGGAGTGGTCCCATATACAGACCTTTGGAGTTTAAGGTGTTTAAACTGGGCTTTAGTTGAAGGTCTGTTGGACTGTGTGTCCAGCGCTGCACTGTAAACAGCTGAAAGGCCTGAGTGAGTCGTGATGCTGCTCTGTGCCTGTAGTCGTGTTTATAACGCTGATAAATCTGTGCAAAATCCCCAGTGACTCACTTTCCTCCCCAGTTACCATGGCGCCTCCTAACACGTCCCCTCAGCGCACGCCCTCACCCGTCATCACTCCCCAAAGGTCACGAGCTGCATAAAACCATAATTATGATATAATACAGTGATGCATTCACAGCACATTGTTCCTCATATGTAACATGAGACACGAGACCAGCCATGCAGGCAGTAATTAAGCGTTAATTGAGAGAAATCTTACCATTCAGACAGTCAGTTACTCAGTCAGGCTGGTGCTCAGACACCATCGTCACTAGAAACAGTGGTGCGCCATTCGGCTAAATGTAGCAGTGGCTAATTTATGTGGTGCGATAATGAGCCTAATTAAAGAGCTGACAGTGTTATGAATGATAGAATGGCTAATGTGATTTCATGCAGAGAGAAAATGAGAAGAATCTGTTTTCTGCACACAGAGGCCTCTGCTGAACATACAGCGGCACCAAAAAGTATTTGGACGCTACACCTGTTAAACCGATCAGGGCCTGTATCCTACATTTGCCTTGTACTTTGTTTATTGCTGTGACATCTTCTTATAGTGTTCGTATTTAAAAAAAGATGGTTCTTCAAGGGTTCTTTAGTGAAGAAAATGGTTCTATATAGAACCATGAACACTCAAAGAACCCTTTGCATGATTAAAGGGTTCTTTGCATTGCGAAAGGGTTGTTTAGACTGAAGAAAGGGTTCTATCTAGCACCAATAAGCGTTCTTCTATTGTTACAGGCCTGACATCATAACATCATTTTTGGTGTAATGTAGAACCCTTTTCAAAAATGTTCTATATAGAACCATCTACAGCACATTCTGAAGAACCCTGTAATCATGCGAAGGTTTCTTTGAGTGTTTATGGTTCTATATAAGACCATTTTCTTCACTAAAGAACCCTTGAAGAACCATGCTTTTTAACACAAACATTGTAAGAAGATGTCACAAAAATAAACAAAGTACAAGGCAAATGCAGAGAACCAGAAAAGAACCAGAAAGAACCAAAGTATCAGCAGAGGTGGTCTTCGCACTAGGCAAGGGCAGGCAGCCAACTGGGGCCCTCATGAGCCAAGGGCCCCACAAAAATGCAGATTAGATATACTGTACACGTTGATGTTCAGTAATCTATTCTGAAATTTATAAACAATTTTAAAATAGCTGTTATTTGAGATTGTAGTGATTATTTTCAGTCATTTCATTGCTTAAAGGGGAACTGCATCCATTTTTCAAAAATTCTACATAATAAAATCTTTAAGATGTAAACAGAGTCATTCAGAGTGGTTTGGTGTGAAACGCTCTGTTCTAGATAAACTTACCGAGTCAGAACTGTTCACAGTGGTGGCGATAGGAACCAGACGTCCACCTCTAAAAGCTCCCTCACAGAAAGTTACTACATGAAATGGTTATGAATTCACTGCCTGATGACTGAGACACTGTTTTATGATAGTTTTGAGAACTTCAACTCCATTCATGATGGAGGGATACATGCAGGGCGCTGTGAGGCAAAATAGTCCCCAAAGAAAACTTATTATTTCAGATTTTCCACTATTTCCCATCATCAACATTCCACATAAACTCAGAAGACTCGTGTAGGTTCACTGGTGGTTCTGGATAGTAAATAAAATGTCTATATTTGTGTTGTAGTCATGGCAACCCCTGGTTCCTACCACCACCACTGTAAAGACATCTGAACCATTTCACACCAAACCACTCTGAATCTTTCTGTTTACACCTGACACACTGAGTTATGAAGAAAATTTGAAAAAAATGGTGGAAATTCCCTTTAAGTCTTCAATAATTGTTAGCTACATTAGCCTTGTAGCTGCAGCACTAAAACTAAAGAGGCAAACATTAAAAACCAAAAATGAAAGTTTGTACACAGTGCGGCTCCTTTGTTGGTTTTATTCCAGGCTGGTGTAGTTTTACTTTCCAGGAGCGACTCTGAGAAGCAGTAAACACACACAGCTCTCTCAGGGGGAGAGATAATGAGAGAGAACTCCAGCTCCTCAGCCTTATCAATTACACGGCTTTAATTAGTTTCGGAGGGCCAAGCACAGGCACACCTGCCAGAATGATGCATCAATCAGATGCGTCCCATATAGAATAAATACATAAGGGTCATTCTCCATTGGAGGGGAAACCGTGTCACAAAGCTCTCAGGGCTTAAAAAGATGCTTAAAATATCAGACACAGCTCTAAAAGTCAGTAAGTACATTTACACAGTTAAGCTAAGATTAAATAACACTTTTCCCTGATGATTCTCTGATTTTTCTCTTTTATCCTGTTTCATATTCGCTCTGCATCTGTAGAACAGCTCATCACAAAACCAACTTTCAAACCATTTTTAATGTAAAACAATATTTTTAAAAGTGTTGAACTTAGGAATGTGTATAAAACAGATTCATGTTTACTTTTTATATCATTAACATTAAACTACATTTAAAAATTATGTATTTTATTTAAAAATCTATTTGTCACAGAGGTTGTGGTCTCTGGTGTTATCAGGACTCTTATTTTACATTTTATCACAGTATTTTAAGCTCTATTAAACTGCTTCTTTGGGTCGAGGCTCATCAGAGAGGAAGCATCTCAAGGCATGAGAAGGCGAGTCACACTCGCTCACTTTATTCATTAATTTATTAATGTTTCATTAAATTATTAATATTTTGTTTATCAGGCAGCTCATAACTTCAATATGTCACCGGTGTTTTGTGCTTTAATGGCTGGGTAATTAATATTTTGTCAAAATATGGCCAAAATATCATTTTTATTACTGATTTTAAATAGTTGGACAAGGTCACCTGATCAGCCAACAAGTCAGCCAGTTTACAAAATCCAGAATGTCACTGGAGTCACCGTCACTGGTGTTACACCATATTCATACAACACCAGTGACTGTGAAATATGTTTGAATTAAGCTCCTTGTTGCATATATGATAATAGGAGATGTTAATGGACACATTAAGATTGTTTAGTTTCAGGATGAAAGAAACTGATTTTTAAAAATGTATCCACCTGAATTCCCACTGCAGATGGAGAAGACCCAAATATTCCAAATGTATTTAGTAAATATATTTTTGCAATGTATGAAAATGGCTACAAATGTATTTGTTAAATATATATTAAAATGCATTTATTAGTCTTTGTTATTTTATGTGAAAAAGTTTCCTGCTGGATATGTGAGAAAAGCAGCTATAGCTGAGCTAAAGTTTAAAGCAGAGCAAAATAAGTCAGCGTTTTGGTTTATATTATATTTTTAGTCTGAACTATCACATCAGCACATCACACAGCCAAGACGGTAAAATAGATATAAATGTTGTGGCTCCCAAGGTGGTTTGATTATTGTTGAAAGGACAAAATGGCTCTAATTTACATTTCGGTTGCGACTCCTTACATAGGAGAAAATAGAGGATGGGACTGTGTAATGGAAAGTGTCCCAAATAATGAGGAAATTGAGCCACAAAAACAAAAAAATTAAGAGACTATTAGACTCGGCTAATGTTGGGGTTTGCATCCTCAAGCTGAGTAAAGGAAAAAGCTGTGTAATCACTTTATCATTTTATGTTGAGCTGAGTTTCATTTTTGACAGTGTGGTTAATATGGCAATATAATCTGAAATGCATTTTAGTGTTCAGAATGTATTTCAAGTATATAAAAATACACATCCATATATATTTTTCCATATGAGATTGTCTTGGTTAGTTATTTCACACAGCTGAGGGATTTAATGGTCAGAAACTGTTATTATTTACACTTAAAGAGGTTTACAGCTCAATGCTTTGTTCATTTGATATCCTTCAGATGCTGAAATGTTTTTCACAGCATTTTTGTTGCTTTTTTTACTCAAATGATTCTGAATAAAGAAACATTTCGCCAAACAAACCCAAGGCTGTGCGTTGTGTTTGTAAACAATGGGCTTATATTCTCAACACGATCCTTGCTGTAGATAATACAGGACAGCTTTGACCATGTTTTACTGTAAGTAGTGATTTTGGAAATGTTGAAATTTAATTTAATATTAATACAGGGTGTAAAAGTGATTAATAATCAATATCAGATTGGAAAATGAATTTAACAGATGCTGTAATATTGATTAAAGATTGACTCGTTGATCGATATCCAGGATAGTATGAATAAGTGAGTGTTTGGCACCTCCTGATATAATTATATGAGTTAAACTGGGAGTTCTGTGGCGTTCGTGCAGAAAAGCATGTAAATGTGCATAAAGTGGATTAACACAGATTGAGAAACTGCTTTTTACTGTAAACTTAAACTGAAAGTTTGAGTCACTGTAAGATCAGCTGAAGCCTTCAAACACGGCCAGCCCTGATTTCTGTAATGATCTGTACCAGACAGAGAGAGAATTTATAATTATAATTTATAAATTTATAAAATAGAAAAAGGGTGCCATAAACTAATCCCATGTAAATGTATCATTTATTTGACATTATGTACATGAACATTATCACATAAGTTTTTTTTTAATTGCTTTGGCAACAATTATTCATTACAGTTCATGTCAATAAAGTTATTTATGAATTTGAAATTGAGAGAGAGAGAGAGAGAGAGAGAGAGAGAGAGAGAGAGAGAGAGAAAACAGAGAACGAAAACGCAGAGAGAGAGAAAAGGGTGAGATAGAAAAAAGTTCGAAAAGATAGCGAGAAAAAGAGAGAGAGAGAAGGGGGATAAAGAAGAGAGAGACGGAAAAAGAAGGAGAAAGAAAGAAAGAAAAAAACAAAGAAAAGTAAAAGAGAGAGAGAAAGAAAGGAAAAGAGAGAGTGGGAAATAGAAAAGAGAAAACAACAGAAAGATAAAGAAAAAATGAGAGAAAGAGAGAGAGAGAGAAAGAAAAAGGGAAAAAGAAAGAGAGAAAGAAAAGAGAAAAGGGAGAGAGAGAGAGAGAGAGAGAGAGAGAGAGAGAAAGGGGAAAAGAAAAAGATAGAGAAAGAAAAGAGAAAAGGAGAGAGAGAGAGAGAGAGAGAGAGAGAGAGAGAGAGAGAGAGAGAGAGAGAGAGAGAGAGAGACTGCACGCGGCCCCTTTAAGAGCTCCGCGCGCTGACGTGCGCAGCGTCACTTCCTGCCCCCCGCGCCCACGTGACGGGCGGTCTGTTGCGATGACGTCATTCGGCGGATCGGGATGACGTCAAACACAAAATGGATGTGAGCGAGTCGCGCGGAGGGGAAACACGGAGCGCGCGAACACGGTACGCGGGGCTACTGGGGGGTGAATGTGTTTTGGGGACGAAGAGCGGGGACGGGCTCGGGACAGAAGGAGTTTGGGGCGTGAGGAGCAGGCGCGGGGGCAGTTTGAGGGGGTAAAAGTAGACTGACGTAACGACGGGGAGCTCGAGCTCCCTCTCTCTCTCTGTGTGTGTGTCTCTCTCAGGTACACACAGTAGAGTACAGTGTCTGCTGTGCTTAGAGCGAGAAACACTGTTTTAGAGAGAGAGAGAGAGAGAGAGACAGGAGAGACAGACAGAAGTGTGCATGTGTTTGTTTATGTTGTGGGTATGAGAGAGCGAGAGAGAGAGAGAGAGAGAGAGAGAGAGAGTGTCTCACACAGGGCTACTGCTTTCAGACGAGGCTGAAGTTGACTTCTGGTTGGAATTCTCCGCTCCACCTTAAATGTTCAGCAGTTACATTCTGGCGCCTCTCAGACGCCAGAATGTAACTGCTGCACATTTAAGGTGGAGCGGAGAATTTCAATAAAAAGCCAACTTCAGCCTTAAATAAGAAACCAACTGAAGTACTCTCTCTCTCTGTGTGTGTGTGTGTGTGTGTGTGTGTGTGTGTGTGTGTGTGTGTGTGTGTGCGCGCGCACCATGCATTGAATAATCCACAGTAATCTGCAGGGTTCTTCAAACTTGTCTGCATGACTTCATAGTGAGTGTGCTTGGCCATGAAGTGATGAAGTGACCTGAAGCCTGCTGGAGCTGGAAACTCTCATGTTTACAGACACGTTTAGATAAGAGTCTAATTTAGGAACGACTTATCACCTTTTTTTTTTTAGCACTTGAACAACTTTAAAGGGGAATTCCACCAATATTTTCCAAATTTCTGCCTGAGTCAACCATTGAGATGTAAAGTGATTCAGAGTGGTGTGATGTGATTTCTTAGAGGGATTTCTTTACAGTGGTGGTGGTAGGAACCGGGGGTCTGCAACCACCACTGTGAACAGTTCTGACTCTGTAAGTTTCTCTAGAACGGAGCGTTTCACACCAAACCACTCTGAATGACTCTGTTTACATCTTAACCGTTGAATTATGCAGGAATTTTGAAAAATTGGTGGAATTCCTGTGCTGTCCTGTGGTCAGACATTAATCTCAGTGTCAAATGGACATGCTAATTGGAATATATGTACACATTAGGTAGGCTACATATTGGTGCATATTGCATTTTTTTCATTTTTGCCGCCAAATAATCCCAGCATATAAAGGTTTTGACAGGGTGGACTGTGATGAGGTGGAATTTCATGCAAACATCAGTTTTTAACAGCAAATAAAATGAAGTTTTTGGGAATATTACAAAAAATCTCATAAGTATTCACTCTGTCTATTTTGTGTGCTGTGGTGGACATTATGCTTGACACACCCTGTAAAACAGTAGATTATTATAGATGCACGGTCATATGGGCATCAGACAGACGTTTAGATTTGGCCGATGTTTCAGACTAATATGTGGTAGTGTGTTTACTGAAGAAGAGCAGAATGTTTAGGTGACGCTGGATTACTGCACCAAAATATCTGTATTGTATTAATTTTACTGCATTTATAACCCTACAGAAACTCTGCAGAGCTAATCCAGGTAGATGGCTTAATGACAGCATGTTATTTTTAAGGCCAAGTATACTGGGGTGATGAGGGGGAGGCAAAACACAGAAAAAGTATTATATTTTTCTCAAAATTAATGTTTTTTATATTCAAATAATATATTTTCTGTTAATGTGGAAACGGATATACTTCTGAGCTGGAAAAGTTATGATGAACTATTGTTAATTCAGCTTTTGTTCAGTAATATGTGGCCTGTAATCCTAAAATGTTAATGATGAACTTATGCAATTAATATATTTAAGCTTGAAAAACGCGTGTTAGCAGATTTTTGTCTCTTATGCACAAAGTCAAATGGTCTTTTCATAGATAGACAATCATCAGATCAGATTTCCTCTCTTTAGTATGGTACACACTTAAAAATGGTTCTCCAAGGGTTCTTTTGTAAAGAAAATGGTTCTATATAGAACCATGAACACTCGAAGAGCCGTTTGCATGATTAAAGGGTACTTTGCATCGTGAAAGAGTTCTTCAGATTGATGGAGAACATGTTGTAGATGGTTCTGTTTAGAACCTTTTTGAAAAGGGTTCTTCTCTTGTAACAAATGTGACATCGTAACAATAGAAGAACGACTTTTAGTGCTGTATAGAACCATACACAGCACCAGAACCACTTAATCATGCAAATGGTTCTTTGAGTGTTCATGGTTCTATATAGAACCATTTAGTTTACTAAAGAACCCTTGAAGAACCATCCTTTTTAAGAGTGTAGTCTAGTAGCCTATTTGCATATTATTAAAGTAGATGGAAGTATTTACTGCAATGAATTAACGACTCTTGTAGAACTAAACACAGTTACCTAAAATCAACACTGGCTAAATTTTATTTCTCTTTTTGGTGTAAAATTAAAAGCACAACAAGAGCTGAACCAATGCAACAGAAGAATATTAAACCCTAAAAAAGAAAATTAGGAACTAAATATTGCAATTCCATTAAACTTTCCATTGCATTTAACACAATAAATGCATATATATAATACTGTCGCTTTTACAAGTTGTTGTTTAATTTTATGTGTTTATTTACATATATGCCCACACAGTTTATAATATTTCACACGTATTTCCTCTTCTCTTCATTATTATTATGTTGGAGGGTTTTGTAACAACAGTGCCGATAATATGCATTTTAAAATATAATCATTTTGCTGCTGTTTCTTACTATATTCTCTCTTCTTCCAGGGCTGAGATGGAGTCTTTGGTGCACTACAGTAGCCCTGGCCATGCCATCTCACTACTGGGTGTCCTAAATGAGCAGCGTTTGAGGGGTCATCTCTGTGATGTGGTTCTAGTGGTTGGAGAGAACCGCTATCAGGCCCACAGAAGTGTCCTGGCAGCCAGCAGTGAGTATTTCCAGTCTCTGTTCTCCAGAAGGGACTCGGAGAACCGTGCAGTCATCCACCTGGACTTCTGCGAGCCTGATGCCTTTGAGATTGTGCTGAACTACATCTACTCCTCGTCCCTGTTTGTGGACAAATGCAGCCTGGCTGTCGTACAGGAGCTTGGCTACAGCTTGGGCATTCCCTTCCTGACCAACATCATGTCCACCAGGCCGCAGGTGTCTTATTGCGTGTCCAGAAAGAGGCTGTCTTTCTCCGAGGAGGATGACGGCGTGTACCCGAAGAGGAGTGTTATAGTACGCCAAAGTGGGATGGGTGCCACTCACAGAGGAACTTTCTCAAACCTGCAGGGAAAAGCACCAAAACACACAGACACGACCTCAAACGAGACTCCACCTGCTCGAGCTTTCCGAGAACAGACTCACCTTTCCTCAGGATATGTCGAACCAAATGAAAGGGGGACGAAGGTCCAACCTGTTAGCACGAATGCTAACGCACAGACAGAGGATGGTGACTCCAAACCTATCATTTCTTCCCTTCCGTCCATCCTCAAAGGCCACGAGTATAGGTCACCCTCCGGAAGGCCGCAGTTGACCTCCTCGGTATCCTTTAGTGAATCTGTACAGCTTGCCGGCTTGCACTCTGATCATACCGATGACAAAACTGGAGTGGAAAAGGTGGAACCTATGTATGATTCAAAGCCAGTTTCTGGAAGCCAGCACGGTCCGCATAACCAAACCATAGACAGGAGTGGACCGCTCATTAAAAGCTTGCTGAGGAGATCCTTGTCCATGGACAGTCCAGTCCCTGTATTCTCTCCAGTTTTGGAGCTGAAAGACTCTCAGAGCAGAGAGCAGTCTGTCGTAAAATTAGCGATGACGAAAACATCAGGGTCACCATCACCTGAAAGCAAGCATCAGATTTCCAAACATATGCCACCCCTCATTCTCAGGTCCAAACAGCATAATGCGCTAGACAAGGAAGGCACTCAGGGAGCTGAGGTACAAGTCAAAACGGAGCCCAGCAGCCCACTCGCTGACCCCTCAGAGATCATACGTATCACCGTAGGGGACAATCTACCCGTTAGCTTCAAAGATTTTCAGGCTAACTTTGACGAAGGCCCTAGATACTTCAGTCCTTCAAAAAGGAAGATGAAGCTAGACAGTAGCTCCAACCCGTTTAAGAGATCCAGGGTCTTAAACGAACACCAGTTTATGCATGAGGATGGCACATCCGATGAAACCCCTCACAACTCCAAAGCAGACGACAGCAATCAGGAACCTGGGGAGCTGAGGCCCAGCAAAATGTTCAAGTGCTGGAGCTGCCTGAAGGTGTTCAGGTCAAACGCTGGCCTCTACCGGCACGTCAACATGTACCACAACCCGGAGAAGCCGTATGCATGCGACATTTGCCACAAGCGCTTCCACACCAACTTCAAAGTGTGGACGCACTGCCAGACACAACATGGTGTGGTCCAAAACCCTGCCCCGTCGTCCAGCTCTTACTCCGTGCTGGACGAGAAGTTCCAGAGGAAGCTTATAGACATAGTGCGAGAGCGGGAGATCAAGAAGGCTTTGATTATGAAGCTCAGGAGAAACAAGCAAGGTCTGCAGGCACAACCCTTTGCTAAGAAAAACCGAAGGTCTAGATCTTACGGGTGTCCCTATTGCGGAAAAATGTTCTTTTTCCAGTCGCATTTCAAGCTGCATATGAAAGTGCACACTGCTGAGAGAGCTAGCATTGATGCGCAAGAAGATGATGATCTACATGAGAGGCAGGACCAAGCTGGGCATGTCAAGGAAAACGAAAACAAAGATGTGTTTCCCTGTAGGTTGTGCAATCAGAAACTGCTCTCTCTGGCAGAGCTGGAGGACCATGAGAGAGCTTGCAGGTATGCAACAGTCTGCCCTTACTGCGGCCTTAGATTCTCCAACACCTTGGTGAAAAAGGACCACGAGGCCCACTGCAAGTACAAGAAGCTGACTTGCCTGGAGTGCATGCGCACGTTTAAGTCCTCTTTCAGTATTTGGCGGCACCAAGTAGAAGTTCACAACCAGAACATGATGACTGTGAGGGAGCAGCTGACCCAAGGCCACCAAGATGTTAACCGGGATGCTGGGGATGCCCTAAGATCTATACCGCCACCGTCTAAGGAGTCCATGGCACGGGTCGATTTGAACAGCAGAGAAGAAGCAGTTTACAGCGACTCCTCGGCTCCCGCTACCTTCGATTCCGAGGATTCTTCGTCTTATGTCCCAGAGGATTTGAGCACAGGTCCGAGTGAGCTGAGGGTGAAAGAGGAGCCGCAGGAAGCGGCAGTGACGGACAGGGAACAAGCCACTGGCAAACCTGCACCCTTGGAAGAGCCAGGTGTTTGGCCTTGCGAAAAGTGTGGCAAGCTCTTCAGCTCCCACAAAGACCTCGAAAGGCACCAGGAGCTTCTCTGCCACATCAAGCCCTTCATCTGCCACATTTGCCACAAGGCGTTCCGGACCAACTTCCGCCTCTGGAGCCACTACCAGTCCCACATGTCATCCTCAGAAGATTCGGGGACTAGACAGGTGGACAGACAGCCCTCGTCTCCTTCCACCCCATCTCCGCCTCTGACCATCGCTATCCAGGAGCCTCCAGCTTCAACAGCATCCCCACCAAAAGTGACCCAGGCTGCAGTGACCAGCTCAGAAGAGGAATCCCAACGGTCCAAGTCTCCAGTGTCCAAGCCTAAGAGGCTGGAGCAAGAAAAGTCCGAAAACGGAAGTGGGCAACGTGCTCTTGGCCGTTCGGATAGCTTGGACAAGCCAGTAGCTTCTCAGGAATCAGACACCCTCTTCTATCATGCCCCGACTTTGTCTGCCCTTACCTTTAAGAGGCAGTACATGTGCAAGCTTTGCCACAGAACCTTTAAGACTGCCTTCAGCCTGTGGAGTCACGAGCAGAGCCACAGTCATCTGTAAGGGTTAGAGTTAGAGAACCTCATGTTAACAGTGGAGATGATATTTAAAAAGCTATCTCAGAGTGCCGGGGGTGTTTCCCAAAGCAGGATTTCTTGTTAAGCTGCATAGCTTAAGGAAAAAGTGAGGGTTGTCCAGTGGGACTAACCTTGACCTCACCTTCTATTGGGCAGGCTTGACTTTTGCCTTAAGTTATCATGCTAATTGTGATCAAATCACCATAAACGGAAGTCGTTCTTTCTGGCTGTGGGCTAAATTTTTCTCCTGTTACTCAGATTCAAGTCCAGATGTAGAGCCTAGGTCGGAGTATGGCTTTGGAAAATACATGGACAGTCTCAGTGTGCACAAGACCTCCAGATGAATCAATTCCGTGAAAAGAAACGTCCTTCTAAGTACAAATACAACTGAGATGACACACTTTCCTGCAGTTATTGGGCATCAACGGTCAACGGACAACTCTGTGAGATGCATGTACAGAGACTTTTACTCTCTTTTGTCTCCTTCGCATTTCAGACTTGCTGTCAGGTTTTCCAAAATGTACTATACTCTACAGGTCTGCTTAGAAACCTGCAATAACTCTGTTCAAAGTGCTTTGCATAGGATGTGCAGGAGTTTTAGTGGCCTTTACCTTTCTTCTGTTCATTCGCACTTTTATTATGTAATTCCAAAAAAGTCTTTGTTGCGCTCATTCAGCAGTAAAAGCACATTAGATCCAAATGACTATTATTCTCATAGGCAGTATTCAGAGGGTGAAATTATGGTCGATGTACTATACAGTCATATGCAAAAGTTTGAACACCCCCAGTCAAATGCCAGGGATAAATATAGCATTTTGTTGTGAATTTAAGTGCACAGTTTCCTTTTTCTAGGCTGAGTTTAACACATTGGGGAGAAAAAATAACAGCATTTCCTCCAATGTGTTAAATTCTCTATAAAGGATGTGTCTTATTTTCACTTAGAAAACATAGTTTGGCCAGGGGCGCACAAACATTTGCACAAACGACTGTACATCTAAAATCCGTAATCAACAAGCAGGACAAAATGGACAGAACTGACCACACAGAGAAGTGATCACTCTGTGCTCCTGCATTTCTCAAAGATTTGGACTAAATGAGATTTTATTATTTACATATATAAAATGCTTTTGGGTTGCCTTAATACACACTTCTGGTTCTTCAGGGATTCTTTAGTAAAGAAAATGGTTCTATATAGAACCATAAACACTCAAAGAACCCTTTGCATGATTAAAGGGTTCTTTGCAAAGTGAAAGGGTTCTTCAGATTGATGGAGAATGTGAGGTATATGGTTCTATCTAGCACATGGTTAGCAACATCTATTATTACAAGCGTTGTAACAGTAGCAGAGTGCTTTTTTTGGTGCTATGCAGAACCCTTTTCAAAAAGGTTTCTTTCCACCATGAAAGGCTTCTTCAGAATGATGGACAGTGAGTTGTTTATGGTTCTGTTGTGCACCAAAAAAGGGTTCTTTTATTGTTACAAGCTTGACATCGTAAAAGCAGAACGCTTTTCGGTGCTATATGGAACCCTTTTGAAAAAGGCTGAACACATGGTCCATCAATCTGGGGAACCCTTTCACCCTTTAATCATGCAACAGGTTCTTTGAGTGTTCGTGAACCGTTTTCTCTTCTAAAGAACCCTTGAAAGTAAGTGTTTACAGAAAATTTACAGAAAAGTTTTGTAATTTTATAAAATCGCTCCCCACCAATAAGTTTAATTTCATAAATCCAGCCTAAATGTGCATGGGTCAAGGTTCTGGACGCCAGCGGCGCAGGATATGAGAACTTGCTATTGTTTTTTTTGGGGGGGGGGTTTGTGCACATTTACAGATCCAAGAATCTTACACACAGTTTCTTGTTAGGCTTTTTTATTTTTTTCGTTTTGTTGATTTGTTTTAAAAGTTGTGCTCTTGGACACTTTATAGAGTTTCTCAGTAGTTGAATTCAGAACTTTGTGGAATATATTCAGTGATTGTATTGAACAAATAGAAGACTTTATATGTACAAAGAGGCTGGTAGGGAGTGAAGTTCTGTAAGCTGCGTTAAGTGAAGTGCAGTGTACACGATTCCCTCGTAACCGTATGTACAGAACGTGCAGTATCTGTGGGAGTACTCTTCTTGTTATTAACGTTATTAGAGTTGGAGTGAGCCTTAGGACATTCGCACTCTATCAGTACTGTATCAGTACTTCAGCCGCACTGTAGTGTAAGGGTTCCTTACTAAAGTAATACAGTAATTAATCAAGTCATGATGCAAGTAGATGGTAAACTACATGGTTTTTGGGTTTCTTATATACAGTACCTCAGCTATGCCTGATTAATGTAAGAGTTATTAAAAGCTATCGAAGCACAAGGGGGTTTAAATATGGTTTTTTTTCCCAGAATTTTCTCAAAATAAAGGAATATTTAGCATTTTTTTAGGCTGATGACCACTTCCTGTATCTGTAGGGTCTGTGGCGTTCCAGCAACTGCCTACTGGCTTTTACACCGATCAGGCATAACATTATGAGCACCTCCTTGTTTCTACGCTCATTGTCCATTTTATCAGCTCCACTTACTATATAGGTGCACTTTGTAGTTCTACAGTTACAGACTGTAGTCCATCTGTTTCTCTGCATACTTTGTTAGCCCCCTTTTACCCTGTTCTTCAGTGGTCAGGACCCCCATGGACCCTCACAGAGCAGGCACTATTTGGGTGGTGGGTCATTCTCAGTGCTGCAGTAACACTGAGGTGGTGGTGGTGTGTTAGTGTATGTTGTGCTGGAGTTTTTAACACTGTGTCCACTCACTGTCCACTCTATTAGACACACCTGCGTTGTTTGTCCACCCTGTAGATGTAAAGACAGAGACGACAGCTCATCTCTTGCTGTACAGTTTGTGTTGGTCATCCTCTAGTCCTTCATCAGTGGTCACAGGACGCTGTTGGCTGGATATTTTTGGTTGGTGGACTATTCTCAGTCCAGCAGCGACACTGAGGTGTTTAAAAACTCCAGCAGCACTGCTGGTCTGAACCACTCAGACCAGCGCAACACACATTAACACACCACCACCACGTCAGTGCTGAGAATGACCTATCCATGGGGGTCCTGACCACTGAAGAACAGGGTAACAAAGTATCAGAGAAACAGATGGACTACAGTCTGTAACTGTAGAACTACAAAGTGCACCTATATAGTAAGTGGAGCTGATAAAATGGACAATGAGCATAGAAACAAGGAGGTGGTCATGTTATGCCTGATCAGTGTATTATAAGCAGGAGAGTCAGGCTTTCTGTTCTTCTAAAGGAAAACATGCCAAAATGATGGTCCGTGATATCTGACCATACGTTACAGATGCAGCAGATGGAGATTAGGTTGAAAAGCGCTGAAACATTCCTTGCATTTTACTGGCTTAACTGTCTCTCTTCTATTGTGGCCTGTGTCGTGCAGAGAAATATTAAAACTGAAACAGTTATTCCTGATATGCTGCGTGCTTTCGCCGTCTGTCACCTGTGTAATGATAAATTGTTGGGATAGAAAAGTATTTTGGCTCCGATAGTGTTGATCTGTGGAGATACTTCACAAGAAGTCGGAAGGATCCAGCGCTCGGTTTCGTCATCACACCCACGTGACGTCCAATATCACGTTTGTAAAAGGTTTTAGGGCAAGAGCTGAGAGTAGAAAGGCGGCGTGTGACATAATTTCCTCTTTATTTGATTAATCAGCTGCTTGTGATTCTGTTTGAGTATATAACATGTGCTTCTCCATTTAGATTCTTCGAAGATTGTATGACCTTGAATGAGACGATTAAAAATCTTAATTATATATAATTAAAGGCAACGTTTGTATGTTCTTTGTTGACTTTTGTACCAATATTTTCTCTGTTTAATGAAAAAAGGTTTATCTTTTTTGGTATTTCTGTGGTATCCCTGCAATAACTAATATTTGTAATTACATGAATTGTTCTGATCTAATGTGGCTTTAAAAACTGCATCAGTTTTTGTGTTTAGTGCTTCTTTTCTACTGTTTCACTGCTTGCTTTCTGAAATAAAGGTTGATCCTGTTTAACAGGCTTCGACTACTTCCTCTTTCTGGTTTAGCATCATCTACTTACTGTCATTCTTGAGTTTCCTCTAAACTTTCCGTCTGACGTGTGCTAAAGACAAGGGTTCTCTATAGAACCATGAACACCCATAGAACCATTTGCATGCTTACATGGGTCTTTGCATGGTGAAATGGTTGTATATGTTGTATATGTATGTATATGTGTTGTAAACAGCACCAAAAAGAGTTCTGCTATTGTTTTGATGTAAAGCTTGTAACATCAGAAGAACCCTTTTTCGGTGCTACATAGAACCCTTTTCAAAAAGGTTCTGTGTAGAACCATATGCAACACATTCATCAATCTGAAGAACCATTTCACCATGCAAAGAACCATTTAAGCTCGCGCATAAGTGCTCATGGTTCTATACAGAACCATTGTCTTGACCTAAGAACCCTCGAAGAACCATCCTTTTTTAAAGAGTGTACATTTTCCATTTTGTAAAGTGTAAAGTTTGGCATATACTGCACAATAATAATCTACGTAAAGTTACTGTATAACCTGAAACATGCTAACATGTAAAACTGTAAAGTTAGCATAGTGTTTTAATATACCTAAACTTTACATTTTACATGTGCTACCTGGTTTCAGGTTATACAGTAACTTTACATTGTTCATTACTGTACAGTATATGTCAAACTTTACATTCTCAATGTTTTAGCATGTTTCATATAATACAGTATATTGTCACTGTCAGAACAAAACCTCCATTTATTTAGTTATTTGTTTGTTTATTCGTTTATTTCATTTTGTTTCCCAGAATTTGAAAATGCAAACTGCCCTTTACATTGTGCCCAAATTTCAAAATTAATGGACCAGTACAGAACTAGAGAAAGAGTGCTAGTATGTTTGTATTGTGCATATATAGTATTTATTTTTACATTTTAAATGTATTTCATATTGTACAGTATATGCTAAACTTTACATTTTACATGAGCTAGCATGTTTGTGTATATTATATAGAATTTATTAATTCTATATTTATTAATTTATTAATTTTACATTTTAGGTGTGCTAGTATATTTAATTGCATACACTATATGCTAAACTTTACATTTTACATGTACTAGCATGTTGTATAGTATATGCTACACTTTGCATTTTAGATGTACCTGTATGTTTTATATTATTCAGTATACGCTAAACTTTACATTTTACATTTACTGGCATGTTGTGTAGTATATGGTACACTTAACATTTTCGATGTGCTAGTATATTTCATATTATGCAGTATATGCTATACTTTACATTTTATATGTGCTAGCAAGTTTGTATATAATATATAGAATTTATTTTTACATTTTAGATGTGCTAGTATATTTAATTTTATATACTATATGCTGAACTTTACATTATACATTTACTGGCATGTTTGTATAGTATATGCTACACTTTACATTTTAGATGTGCTAGTATATTTCATATTATACCATGTTTGCTAAACTTTACATTTTACATTTACTGGCATGTTTGTATAGTATTTGCTACACATTACATTTTACGTGTGTTTGTGTTTTTCATATTATACCATATTTGCTAAACTGAAAGCTGGTGGGTGGAGCTTTTAGCCATCGCTGAGCCACTATTATGCTAAGTTTCAAATCATACTGAGTGCTAAACTTTACATTTTATGTGTTTGCATGTTTTACGTTGCACAGTAAATGCTACACTTTGTTTTACATATGTTGGCATGTTTTATATTATAGAGTATGACAACCATTACATTTTACATGTGTTTCTGCATGTTAGATTTCATGGTTTATAGAGTATCCTATGCTGCGTTTTTCACCAGCCAAATAAAAGCTATACTGAATGTACCAGCAGGCTTTAAAGAGGCTGCTGCTCAGGAAAAAGGAGAGAAACTCTTCCAGTAATGGTTTACACACTTTAAAAATAAAGGTGCCAAAAGGATTCTTTGGCGTCAAGAACCACTTTCAGTTCCCTAAGGAACCTTTCAGTGGATTATTCTTTAAAGAAGCATTTTTATAAGGATGTGTGACGATGAAGAACCTCTTAAAAGTATGAAGGACGTCATGTAAAGGTTCTATATTAATTAAAGGTTTATCCAAGCCGAGAACCATTGAGAAATTCTTTATTTTCAAGAGTGTAGGATCTGGGGCGTCAGTGTCATTGGTCAGCACCGTCCTTTGTGAAGCTGAGAATTGCTGAATCTATATTTGGTTCATATTCAAACAGTAGAATTGGCTTCATGCAGCTGGAAATGAGTCACTCCACAAAACTCCAGTACAAAAAAAAACCTCAAGGTCGCTTTTTAATTCGCTGCATTTTCCGGGGCCAACTGGAAAAACAAAGTGACCGATGGCATCAGCAGCGTTTTCTCTTTTTTCGATGTATTTTTATGCTCTTCAGTTTCAGCTCTAACAAGCCCTTCAGTGGGTGAACATGTTTTAATGAATACAGCTCAGTCATTTCCTTCGAACACGTCATGAACCAGCTATGCAGCAGTGACTCAGACATGACACTGGAGCATTAATGTAGCATGCTATGCTAACGTATAATAAATCCACCTGAATCACAGGGTTTTGAGGGTGATTCACTTTTATTCTCCCAAACAAAAAAGCCACACATTATTACACTGTACAAAATAATAATTAGGGTTTATAGGCAAGATTAAATTGTACACTGTACAAAAATAACAATAAAATCAGTGTAATAGTTTCCAGACAAAGCTAACATTGATCCTACTGCATCTGTATTACTATACTGATAATGAGGGACTAACTCACACAGTAAGACTGCACAATGTATCATTCCTTAATCGTTATCACAATATTGGCCTTATCAATACTGATATCACAGTTTGCAATATGGAAATGAGCCCAATTAGAGTTTTTAAAACTGTGCTGGATATTTTGATTAGATTTGTTTTACATTTCTGCATAATTTAATAGTTAAGATGTAAACAGAGCAGTTTGGTGTGAAACGCTCTGTTCTAGAGAAACTTACCGAGTCAGAACTGTTCACAGTGGTGGTGATAGGAACCAGACGTCCACCTCTAAAAGCTCCCTCACAGAAAGTTACTACATGAAATGGTTATGAATTCACTGCCTGATGTCTGAGACACTGTTTTATGATAGTTGTGAGAAGTTTTTGGCCTTAAACTCCATTCATAGTGGAGGGATACATAATATGCAGGGTGTTATGAGGCAAAATAGTCATCAACATTCCATATAAACTCAGAAGACTCGTGTAGGTTCACTGGTGGTTCTGGATAGTAAATAAAATGTCTATATCTGTGTTGTAGTCATGGCGACCCCTGGTTTCTATCACCACCACCACTGTAAAGACACCTGAACCATTTCACACCAAATCACTCTGAATCACTCTGTTCACATTTAAACCACTGAATTTATACAGCAATCTTGGAAAATCTGAGAAATTTTCCTTCAACCATGTTACATTACTGGTTCACCAACAACGTAATACGTTATTGCACTATAATCGTAATTCTTGTATTTCGTCCATATCATGCAGCCCTCATGAAGTAGTGTTGGTTACAGATACCAGGCTTTTCCAAACAGAGACAGAAAGGAGAAAGAGACCCTCTTCATGTTCACTATGGATGTGAGAGATGATAAGTGAGAGAAGAAACTGACTATTTAAATCAAAAACTGAACCTACATTGATCTGTGGGACCTGATTATGATCATGGATTAAGTGTTCCTAAATAAATGTAAAGGAATTGTTTGGCTACAAATCAAATAGACACAGCGCCCGCAATGGTTCTATTTAGAACTATGAGTTGCATATAGAACCATTTGCATGCTTAAATTGTTCTCTGCATTGTGAAATGGTTCTTTGAATTGATGGAGAATTGTGCTGTATATGGTTCTATATAGAATCTTTTTGAAAATAATGTTCTACAAAGCATCAGAAAGGGTTCTTAAATTGTTACAAGCTTGACATCATAGCAATAGCCGAACCTTTTTGGTGCTATACAGATATATGTATATGTATATATGTGTGTGTGTGTGTGTGTGTGTGTGTGTGTGTGTGTGTATATACATATATAGATAGATACAAAGAACCATATACAACATATTCTCCATCAATCTGAAAAATCGTTCCACCATGCAAAGAGCCATTTTGCATCAAATGGTTCTATACAGACCTCACTGTTCTAAACAGAAGCATTGCCTTTAATAAAGAACCCTTAAAGAACCATCTTTTTTGAGTTTGTAATGTAGTTGATCAGCCAAGACATGTTTGGTGTCTATTTTGTTAGTTTTAGCGCTGGTGCTACGAGGCTAATGCAGCTAAAATGCTACCCAAAATGTTTTAACAACACACGGTCTGAGGCAACTTAAGCATGCATGCTAATTGGTGGGGTATAAGCTTCCATTACTTCCATTCCATTACTTTCCATTACTTATTAGCTACGTTAGCCTCTTAGCTCCAGTTAGGGTTGGGTGGTATCCACTGTTTTGTACCTTGAAATCGTCTCTGAATATCACCACAGTATACAGTATTACCAAGTGGCAGAAACGTAAAAGCGGCGTAACTGACGTAAAAGCATTTACATTGCTTTTGTGCCATCTTGTTCAAAATAAAATAATCAAAAAGTATAGTTTGCTAACATGGTCATCAAATAAGCACACAATTTTCAAGCCATCATTCAACAGAAGTCAAACCATCTTTCTAACAATCACTAACTGTTAAACAGAGCAGCTAACTAGCAGAGAGGAGCTGGTTAGCATTAGCTTAGCGAGCTCTATTCACCACAAAACATATTTAATTCTGCCTAACTAAAGCGCCGACACAAGTTTAGATGATATAGACTCATATCTGAGGTGGTGAAGTCGAGCGGCTGGCGCTGAAGGGACAGAAAGGAGAAATTAAACCTGTTTTGTGGTGTTTGGATCTTAATGTGAGCTTAGCGAGCAGCTAAAGACCCAAAAAGAGCCACACACCACAGTACAGGTCTGAGTCTGACTGACTGCTGCTCTGCTAAACAAGCATAATGTGTTATTTAATATTTTTATATGATAAAAAACTAACATCTGACAGAGTAAAAAGAGGAGTGAGTGACAAAAATCAAAGCTGTTCTGTGGTGTTTAGGACTGTAGCGTTTTGGCTAAGCTAATGAGAGCTTAGTTAGCAGATCAAATGTGCCACACAGCACAGCACAGGCTCGGTTCTAGCTAACTGAAGCTAAACTGATTCCTGTTTGGAGGATAACCCGAGAGAAGTGACTGGTTTTAGAGTGAAAGCTTGTGAGTGGAGCTCTTAGCTGTTGAGCTGCTATCACCTCACTTTTATTGAGGTTTATCTCATTTTTCCCCTCTTTCTATCAGTGAGCTCCGAAACCACCAATCAGTGACCCTTCTACAATATAAACAAGTGGAAATTGGCTTTATTTAGCCTTTCAGAGGTGTAATTTTTAAATATCGTGGTATACTTTATTACCGATATACCTCCCAACCCTAACTCCAGTCTTAAAACACTAAAAAAGCAGCAAATAGGTCTTGGCAGATTGACTACGTTTGAAGTAAGAAGGGGAAAAACTGTGTAATTGTTTTGCCAAACGATTCGTTAAAAGCAAGCACAGATAATAAAACCTCTTATAAAGCTAAAGTGTCCTTGATCAGCCTCCTCATCGTGGTGCTCACAGACGTCCCGAGAGAATCTGTGATTTGGTAAGTGATTTTGTACAAATAAGGCTGGACGTCTTTCAGGCTCGTGTCGAACACGTTGTCGACTTCAGACTGAGTGGGCATCTTTGGCAGATACTCGTGCCGGTTGATGACTTCCACGATGTTGATGACTTTCTCGCCCAGCTTTTCGCCCACTTTCTCTCGGCATATCTGTCGCTCCTGCTCGTTGGCCAAGTTCACGACGTTGACCTTTATGGTCCACACCTCCCAGGGGATGCACTCGTCAGAAAACGGCCAGCGGGACTTCTTCTTCTGGTAGAACTCCAGCGAGATTTGGCCCATTCCGTCACTGCCGGAGTTGCCAAGAGCATCCTACCAAACAAACACAAAAAACAACCAAAAGTTCATGGTTATTGTCATTAAAACGACGTTTATAGCAGTGATATAGCTCTGTACTGAATAAAACAGACATTAGAAACTCATCTGACAGAGCAGGAGATAGAAGTAATAGCTCTCTTGGTGCTTTAGCCTTAAAGGGCTCATATCATACACTTTCCTTGTTTTCTGTATTGTTTGTTTTGTTGTGCAGTTGACAAAAATGTCACTATTTTTACTGAAATCAAAATAAATCTGTTTTTTGCATATTCACAGATGTAAACAAACCCTGCACTCTTTATAGCATTTATATAACTGAAGAAACAAAGTACATTATTGATCAGCGACAGTGAATAAAGTCACCCTCAATGTATGTCTGAATAAATGTTGGTTTATTGAAAGATGGTTCTTCAAGGGTTATTTAGTAAAGACAGTGGTTCTACACACAACTGTGGACACTCAAAGAACCATTTGCATGCTTAAATGGTTCTTTGCATGGTGAAATTGTTCTTCAGATTGATGGAGAATGTGTTGTATATGGTTCTACATAAAGCTGATATATATAGCACCAAAAGGTCAGATGAGGTAATGTGAGATGAGGTAATGGAGTGGGGTCCTCAGCCCAGAACAGCACACGGTTAGAAATAAAGGTTCTGTTCAGGTACATTTCTCATTCATCAAGCCACAAACAGTGTAAATGTTCCCTCAAAGCTCCAACAGTGGTTTTAAGGTCTGATTGTGAACCTTAAATAAGTTTTTCCAGGTGAAAAGTTCGTATTTGTACCTTTTCATAACCGAATGTTTTAAACAGAACAGTAAAATAAAAGCCTGGAGACGAGACGGGGTGTGTGGAGTCAGTACAGCTTAGAACATATCATTTGAGTGGATTATGGTTCAGTTATGTTCCCTGACTAAAGGTACTGAGATGGACCCTTGAGGGTCCCACCCCAGTGACAAGAGGGGGGACTGCCCCAGAGACAGTTTAGCACAATTTCCTTGGTTTTTTTGGGACAACTCAGATTAACGCTTGTGTTTGTAAAGCCTTAATCTTAAATAATTCTTGATGTCTTACTGTTTTCTGTTTTGTAATGGGTGTAAGCTGTTTTTCCACAACAGTGAAAATGTCTTCAACTATTATAATATTTTTGTCATATCGCCACCCTTACTGACTCTTTACGTTGTGTTATTTAGTAGATCTGACAATTTATAAACAAGTTTACAGATTATATTCCATTATTCACAAAATCTATACTGAATTTGTTGTAAGGATGCCTCATTGTTGCTGGTTTATTTGATGTTTTTACTGCTCTATTTTAGTATGTTATGAAATAATTTTATTTCTATTATTTCTTATGTCTATTTTCTCAGTTGTTTCTCTAGCTTTTTTATTTGTTTTCACTGCATATTTTATTGCTATTTTATGCCTATTTCTTTTTGAGCCTGTATTTATTTTAATTTTCTTTGTTCATTTTGTATTGCTAGTTTTTATTCGTTTCAGTTGATTAAATTTCATTTTAACTTCTTCAATTCCTGTTTAACTTGCTCGGCTATACTGTAAATGAGGGTCAACCCTCAATATACTACGAGCCAAAACAAAGGTTCTTTGACTGAAAGATGGTTCTTCAAGGGTTCTTTAGTAAAGACGGGGCTTCTATATAAAACTTTGAACACTCAAAACCATTTGCATGCTTAAATGGGTCTTTACATGGTGAAATGGTTATTAAAACTGATGAAGCATGCGCTGTATATGGTTCTATATAGAACCTTTTTGAAAGGGGTTCTATATAACACCAAAAAGGGTTATGATGTCAAGCTTGTAACAGTAGCAAAACCCTTTTTGGTGCTACACAGAACCACTGTCTTTACTAAAGAACCCTTGAAGAACCACCTTTTATTTAAGAGTGTAGTCAAAATATGATGTAATGGCTTTTTTCATCTCCATTCACTTACACAGCTTTGTTCAAAAGTGCATTAAAATAGAAAGAAACTACTGTCCTGCAGCTGCAGTCTGGACCCCACGAGTGTCCTGTATCAGCAGGTCAGTCCACTGTACCTTAAACTCGCCCACTGCTTTCCTGATGACCCGGTCCAGCTCGTCTGAGGACACTCGGACGAAGGTGAAGTCGATGAAGTCGCAGTCTATGTCCTGAGTGCCCACCGTGCCGATGGAGTAGGTGCCCTCCTTCTTATAGTGGAACTTGCCCGTGCTGCGGTGCAGCAGGATGGTGTGGAGCAGAGCCAGCAGGGCCTCATCCACCTGCCGGCCCTCCAGAGACACCTCCAGCACCTCTGAGCGGCAGTTCATCTCGAACAGACACGAAAAACGTCCACTATTTTAAAACGAAAGCCGATTTTAAGCGAGTGAGGCCGAAGTTAGACGAAGCAGTGGCGCAGCAGCTGCTGTCATCTCCTGCGCTGCGCAGCTGCTCTTTCTTTAAAGCTCATAAACGGCCGTTTTCCGCAAAAGAGAGCTCGGAAATTTATCGGAGAAAGATAGTAACACGTTTCTAAGCTTATATGAACCACCAATGTCTCTTGTTCGCGTCTGTAAATCTTACTTTGGGAGGATTTTACACGCGTTCTTCCTCTCCAGATTTGTAAACAGACCTCGGCGTTGGACGGCGAGGCGGGAGGGACGTTTCAGTCGTGTCAGTAAAAGGCGTTTCAAATAACAGAAGCGCGGTTTGGACTTGTTATTTGTTTTTGGGGGGGACAGTTCTCAACAGAACTCACGTTTCTGACACCCAAAAGCCTATACACCTCGTTTCATTTTTATGGAGGGTTGTATGTAAATGGAGATAGGTGTTTTGGGTTTGTGTGAGGGCTCTTATTATGAAAATAATATAAGACCGTGTTGTTCAAAGGGGTGAAATGTGACTACTGGTGGGAAATGACGAAGTGTCTGGCATTTTAGAGGGAATCTCGAACAGAAAAGCAATTTAATTTAGTATAATTGTAGTTTGTGGTGTTGACTCCGGCTCAGATCTTTTTAATGGTATGCATAAAGACTTTATTACAGCTGGAGAGACAGATAGTTGACTAGAAATGCTGTGATTCTTCACCAAAGTGAAATTTTGGTGCATAGGATGGAGGTGAACTGCAGCTGAGAAATAATGCAGAGGACCGTGGCCAGCTCTCCTCTGGCTCCCTCTGTGAAGGTGAAGTTGATCAATTTCGGCTTTCACACGGCAGCAGATTTGATCGATCTGCAACCAATACAACTATGCAAAGGTATTTTACACCACAGTATCAGTACTGACACATTTTATTAGTATTAGTCCTAAGCCGAGGTGAAAAAGGACGACAACCGAGTTCAGTTCAATAATAGCAAGTACTGTTTTGGTGCAGGTTCGTTTATTCGACCGGACTTTTGAGTTGTAGTTTCAAAAGTGAGACGTTGAATGTATTTAGATTTGAGGGGTGTGGCGAAAAACTACAATTCCCATGACGCACAGCAGCAAGACAAGCTAACAACGCAAGCATCAGAGGAGATTTTACAGCTGGGAGCTCTGAGATGAAAGTTTAACTCTGTAAAAAAATTAAGATTATACAAACTATACATCTAATAATCTGATAAAACCACTGTATTAGTCTGTATACTAAAATTTTGAACTTTGATCATTACTTTTTGGTCTGTTTTACAGCTGCAAATGCCAATGTCAATGAAAAAATACTTCTTTTTAATAATAATTCTGTCAGTGGTCATTATTTATTATATATTAAAACCATTTTTTCCAAATTATTAATGTGTAGCCTGTTCACCACCATTAGTTCGGGAGTTATGTGTGGCTGTTAATTACTAATCAATGAGAATATGATTGACAACAATAAAATACTAACAAGATATGTGTATAAAATCAGTAATTCACCACTTATTATAGCATCCATGCAATGTTTTATTAAAAAAGAAACATTCACACCATTTTCTGTTTTTTATTTTGAAATATTCTGCACATATCCCTTTATATCTTTTTTAAAGACTTAAAATATCCATACACACTTAAAGAAGATGGTTCTTCACAGGTCTTTAGTAAATGCAATCATTCTATTTAGGACCATAAGTTTTGTATAGAACCATTTCACCATTCAAAGAATGATTTAGGCATGCAGATGGTTCTATATAGAACTCATATTGTAAATAGAACCTTTGCCTCTGCTAAAGAAACCTTGAATAGCCATCTTCCTAAAGTGTGATGAACAGCATGGCTGGTCACCAGTAAAACCAGCATGTGTTGTGTTTTGGAAAGCAGAACTAGACCAGCATGAACCAGTTTAGACCAGTGTGGAGCGCATGCTGGTTTATGCTGATCTATCAGACCATTTTACTTTATGAATATAATAACCGTAGGTCAAAAATAAGACAATTACAAACAATTTTAGTTTGTCATTGACATATTATTGTGCTATTAACAGTGCTATAATGTGTTGTTTTTGTAGAAACAGGCATCACTCAGGAAGAAGCAGTTGAGGTTTTGCAGACATTGCGAGATGATGCCCAGCTTGACCAGCAGAGGGCAGCAACAGAAAGCCTAACAGCGCTGGACCTCCTGCACCAGGAACAGACTCAGGGCAGCATAGTGACGTTCTGCTCAGAGCTCGACGCTCTTCTCGGAGGGGGGCTTCCCGTGGGAAAGACCACTGAGATATGTGGTGCTCCAGGCATCGGAAAGAGCCAGCTGTGGTAAGACTGAAATAGAAACTAACTGGCCACTTTATTAGAAACACTTACCTCGTGTGTCCACTAACTGGCTAATTTATTAGAAACACCTACCCTGTGTTTCCAATAACTGGCCACTTTATTAGAAATACCCACCTTGTGCTTCCAATAACTGGCCACTTTATTAGAAATACCCACCTTGTGCTTCCACTCACTGGCCACTTTATTAGAAACACCCACCTTGTGCTTCCACTCACTGGCCACTTTATTAGAAATACCCACCTTGTGCTTCCAATAACTGGCCACTTTATTAGAAATACCCACCTTGTGCTTCCAATAACTGGCCACTTTATTAGAAACACCTACCTTGTGTTTCCATTAACTGGCCACTTTATTAGAAACACCTGCCTCATAGCTCCACTGTGTAGGTGTACACTCACAGACTGTAGTCCATCTCTTACTGCACAGTTTATCAGCCTCCTCTACCCCAGTCATTATGGGTCAGTTTCTGACCCCAGGATAATGTTGATTTAGACAGAAGATATCGTCTGCAGAATTATTGCAATTAGCAGTGTCATTGTGGGCCAAATTCAGTTAGGAGCACTTTGTAGTTCTACAGTTACAGACAGTGGATGTAGATATAAGGAAGTGTTCCAAATAAAGTGCTCAGTGAATGTAATTACCAACCTGACTGGCTTCTAAATCCAAAATATACCCCAAATAGTGCCAAATTGGCACACTGGAACCCTTTTTCTGGACAAGCTAATCCAGTTTACTTTATGTTTTCCTATTGTTTTTGTTCCCAAAGTTTCTTTTCCAAACTGAAAATCTACATTATAATCTTTTTATAATCTGAAGTGACCTTCAAAGTATGTACAGTCATATGCAAATAATTGAGCACCCCCATTACATGTTACATGTCAGTCAGATTTGACCAGTGAATTTTAGCATATGTGTAGTTAATTAATTATATAATTAAAGGGAAACTCCACTTTTATTCAATAAGTGGTGAAGACGTAAGCAGAGCGGTTCAGAGCGGTTTGGTGTGAAACGCTCTGTTTTAGAGAAACTTACCGAGTCAGAACTGTTCACAGTGGTGGTGATAGGAACTAGACGTCCACCTCTAAAAGCTCCCTCACAGAAAGTTCCTACATGAAATGGTTATGAATTCACTGCCTGATGACTGAGACACTGTTTTATGATAGTTTTAGAGAACTTAAACTCCATTCATGGTGGAGGGATACATGCAGGGCACTGTGAGGCAAAATAGTCCCCAAAGAAAACTTATTATTTCAGATTTTCCACTATTTTCCATCATCAACATTCCATATAAACTCAGAAGACTCGTGTAGGTTCACTGGTGGTTCTGGATAGTAAATAAAATGTCTATATTTGTGTTGTAGTCATGGCGACCCCTGGTTCCTATCACCACCACTGTAAAGACATCTGAACCATTTTACACCAAACCACTCTGAGTCACTCTGTTTACACCTCACACACTGAACTATGGAGGAATTTTGTAAAATTGGTGCCATTCCCCTTTAAGTCTACTGTATACATTTTTGAACTAAAGACAGAACTAAGGTTAGAACAACTGAACAAACGAATGATTAAATACAGGCTAAGCAATAGATAAATCTTGTACCACCTGAAAGAGACTGAAAGACCAGTAATTTGCATATCAGCATTTAATAAACTATCAACACATTTGATAATATCAGTTATCGACCCGAGGCACATGTGTCAAACACAAGGCCTACTGGCCACGTCAGATTCATGGCACAATCCTATTTGGGCCACAAATTCTTATAATCTTTTTACTAAAATTAGCCCTTATTAGTTTCACAGTGCGCTGCATTACAATCCCCATCATGCACTGCAACATAATGTGCACTCCAACCCCGCCTCCCCCACAGTATTCAAAGGGACAGCGGTTACACCACAAAAAGAAAAGATGCCAGGTGTCTAATTAAGGCAAAAACCCCTACCTCCCACCTCCTGGGGACATTTAAAGAGGTCTATTGTAGAGGCTATTTTTACACACACACACACACACACACACACACACACACACACACACACACACACACACACACACATATATATACAGGGTGTCCCAAAAAATATCATTTGAGATGTGAGTATCTGAGTAACTACATGTCCTGTGCAAACGAAATTAAACAGGCTTCATGTTTAACAACACAAGATTTATTTATCAAAATTCGAACAAGAAATTCAGAGGGACGTAGATTTAATAACCGATTTCACAGCTTCACAAATGTAATATCTTCCGATACTGGTGGCCGTCCAGATCCCTTTGTCCTGCACAGACGGCCTTCCTCTGAATTTTTGGTGCCATGTCCAAATCTGCTTTCCAGTTGGTGCATTATTATTGAATTTTCTGGAAAATGCTGCTGCACACTCGTTTGACAGTGTTCGAGCATATTCTAACACACAACATGCCTTTTCATTTCTAGTGAACGCTGTTCTCAACCTGAAAAAACAAACATTAAAAATTACACATTTTGTTAAAATTTGAGATCATTTGAGGGAGAATTGGCTGTTATTAGACTACGAAATGATGTCAGTTTTTTTGGGACAACCTATATATATATATATATATATATAATGATGTCGTTTTTTAGTTTTTGTCATAGTATGAAAGTGTCTGTTGCCCTTTATACTATGTATAAATTTCAGGATTTACACACCAAAAGAAACGACCCAAAAAGACTTGACTTACTTACCATTGACTTACATTAAAAGTAAAGTAGCTTTTTTCTTTCTCCTGTAAAGTTACCATTTTGGAGACAGGAAGTTTTGTTCCGACAACAGCAATATATATATACATATATTAATTTATATATATATAAATATAAATGTATGTGTGTGTGTGTGTGTGTGGTACATGTATGTATGTATGTATAATTTGTTTGGAATAGTTCAGGTATTCATGTAATTTTTCAAGATCTACCACAAGTGTCTATATTTTGCTTTTTGCAGTTTTGCCATATTTTGAATAACCAATGGGCAGTTCAGGTCATAGCAAAATGTTAATTACAAATGGACTAAAATTGTATGTCAGGGGTGCACAACTCCAGTCCTGGTGGGCCGGTGTCCAGCACGGTTTGGTGATTTACCTGCTTAAACACACCTGATTACATGTGTCTGCTATTTGGCAGGTTTAGTGAGTGTGTTTGAGTAGGGAAACCTCCAAACTGTGCTGGACAGCAGCCCTTCAGGACCGGAGCTGTGCACCCCCGTCATATGTGTTCTCTGGCCCACCGATTTGTTAAGATTTTTTTAATGGCCCTTTCAGTGGTTGAGTTTGAAACTTCTGACCCAAGGCTACCAGTGAGAGGAGTTCCAGGAACTGGGCCGGAGCGCCGCTGTCCTAGAATACGTCTGTGTAACCCAGATTTAAAGTGGTGATATCACACACACTCCGTGTTGTTCTCCCTCAGCATCCAGCTGGCTGTGGACGTGCAGATCCCGGTGTGTTTCGGAGGTTTGGGCGGGAAGGCTGTGTACATCGACACAGAGGGCAGTTTTGTGGTCCAGCGCGTGGTGGACATGGCAGAAGCTGCAGTAGAGCACTGTACTTTACTGGCTGAGGATGAAGGTAAACGTCATTAACCCTTTAAACCAGAGCTGTTTCTGCCCTTTAACCCAGTCTTCCTCTTTTAAAGGGCCCATATCATGGAAAACTGAATATATATATATATATATATATATATATATAATATATATATATATATATATATAATTTTTTATATATATACAGCTTTGAATTCATTGTTTTGTGATGTCATTAAAATGAATGCATTTGCATATACCTGCCTTTTCAGCCTACAGCAGTTTAGCCCCGTCCACTCACTCTTAAGCTACAAGGAGTGTTCCAGCTTAGAATGAATAAGGTACACAGTACTAGGCAGCGAATCAGAACAGAGATCATTTACATATATCAGTCTTAAAGTGTTTCAGTCCGGACTGCTTTTTAATGAGGCACAGCCAATCAGAACAGAGCTCATTTACATATAACAGGCGTAAAGGCGCAGTAACAAAACACACTGTTTAATTGTAAAGGATAAAGGAGAGTTTGGAAAACGTATAAACAAAAAGAATTGGGTATATAAAACCTCACAAACATCGTAAGTGGACCTCAGGGGAAAATGCAGGATATGAGCCCTTTAATAGCTAAAGCAGTGTGTCAAACTCAACCACTAAAATGCCCATATTAAAAAATCTTAACAAATCTGTGGGCCAGAGAAAAAAATGTTCTTATTTGGTTTTTAATTAATGTTGTGCTGTAATCCAAACTGACCATTGTTTATTCAAAATACGCAAAACCTTCAGCAGTAAAATATAAGCACTTGTAGTAAACCTTAAAATATTACATGGATATTTGAAATATTGAAAATGTAAACGTCCCCAGGCGCTCAGTCTTTTAAACCTGCCTAGGTGCTTGAATTACACACCTGGCATCTTTTCTTTGCTGCATGTTTATAAAGACTTGGGCTCAGTTTCTGAGCTGCTGAGCTGACGTTCGGTGTTTATGTTGGTTAAACTGCAGCTGAAATACATCTGGTGTGTTTAGGTGATATGACTAGTGTGGGATTATGTAGAGACTGCTGTTGGGGTAGGATAGTTGCACTACATTACATTGCAGTGCATGCTGGGGACTGTAGTACAGTGCACTGTGAAACGGGCTAACATTAATAGAAAATTAAAACACTTTTTGCGGGCCGGAACGGATTGTGTCACGGGCCTGATCTGGGCCTCGGGCCTTGTGTTTGACACATGAGAGCTAAAGTTAACCCATCCTCTACACACTTCTGCACATTTTAATGCACAATTACTGTTTATTTAACATATTTAGGAGAATATAGGGGAAATATATATAAAATGTGCCCTAAGCAAAAGTTATGGTACATTTTATATTTTATGTTTTATTGCTGTCCAATGTGTTAAACTCAGAAATAAATAAATAAATAAATCTCATAGATTTGAGTGCAACTTTATAAAGAAAGACATGCAAACTAATGGAATAGAAGCACAATTATTATAAACTATATTGAGACTTATAAACTATTAAGGTAAAACAGCCTCCACTAATTAGGCACATGCTACCATGAACAAATGCACTTTCCAAAAAATATGACATTAATGTGAGTTTATTTATATATTTCATACACAGTGGTTTACAGAAATAAACATATAAGGTTGACCAAAGATAAATTGCTAAAAACAGAATAAAAAAGACAGCATATCAGAAGACGTCCTAAGAGCTCTGATGGTTTGTCTTCTGCTGTGCCTTTCAGACAGTCTGTGAGCTCTCAGACTGATCTCAGTGAGCGATGCGGAGCGGACTGTGAATTATGGAATGTAAATTTTTTTCTCATGTTTATTCTCAGAGCAGCGAAAAGCACTGGAGGAATTCACCACGGAGAAGATTCTCTCCGGCATCTTCCTCGTCCGTTGTCATGGTTACGCAGACCTGCTGGCCGAGGCCTACCTCCTGCCGGACTTCCTGCTGAAGCACCCTGAGGTGTGCGGGTGTACAAAGGGCGCCACCTGTCTGCACTGCAGGCAGGGAACTGGGGTTCACTGGTTGAGCTAAGTCGGGGATATGGCTAAAATATAACATCACGATACGGGTTACGATATTTCGTTTTTTCTGCGGTTTGGGAACAAACTGAAACAGAGCACAGTGATGTTTGTAAACATAAACTAGTCACTTTATTTTTCACGTGGCCACTGTATTTCGAGGTTATGGCTGAAATATCTGCTTGGGGAGCAGAAGTGTCGTTCTTTACCTTTTTTAGTGAAGTCAAAGAAAGTGTACTTACTTTTTAAGTTATGGTTTTGTCTAATTAAACGTCTCCGAGGCGTTTCTGGGACAGTGTGCAGTTTGTGGCAGTCAATAGTCCACTGTAGTCGTGCGTCATTCTGTAGTCCTCGTTATGCCCATATTAGGAGCTCCGGGTCTGAGCTCCATTTCTCTATGGCCAGAATGAATAGGGTTTTCAAAAAATCGCCTCTAGCGCCCTGTGTTCAATAAAAATGTTCAGAACCCGATGCGTTTTGTCCCGTGTACATTTACCGAATATCACTGAATCCTCCGAATTACGAGGTCGTAAAGAGCTATAATACTAATATTGCTACATGTGAGCTACAGCTACTGCGCATCAATTTGACATCACTAAACTACACGAAACTAAGGTGGACTGTGGCGGTGCTCTGACCAGCTGTGGTATCTTATCAAAATGTTCTACAGTAGTGCATAATTACAGGTTTACCTCTAAATAAAAACTCTAGGTGGGATATTCTGATAGACTTATCAAAAATACTACCCGTGTTAAACTACGAGGCGGAATTTAGCTTCTTTTTTCACAGCTTCCTGTTTGAATATTCCTGTTCCATCTTAAATGGTGCAGCTGCTGCGACTGGCTATCACAAACATTAGCAAACGAGATAAAATACTGACCTGTCGGTTCTGTGAAACAGCAAAAATAATTTACTCAGCTGTTAAGTGGAAATAGAGAAACCTCCTCATATCAGGCCTTTCAACCCTCCATGAAGCTGAAGTCAGCTTTTTGTTTGACTTTTCCCGTTCCACCTTAAATGGCGCGGCAGTTCAGAACGTGACTGCTGCATCATTTAAGGTGGAATGGGAAAAGTCAAACAAAAAGCTGGCGAATGTCCTGAGAAAATGTCCCCAGAAAAATGTTACCAGCATTAAAATAATAATGAGGATGTTCTGAGAGCCTAAATCAGTTTATCAGGGTGAGCAGTGATCATTAAGCTGAGTCTGTACCGGATCAGCCCGAGTTCAGGTTCGTTTGTAGAGCTTTTCAAATCAAGCTAAAAGGAAAGATCTATCATGTTTCAGTGAGCATCAGATGAAGAACAGAGAACTACAGGGAAACCTGCTGATTTTGTTCTGACTTTTTTTCATCTCCCCTCAGTCTGAACAGGGACATGTACACTGACAAAGCCGGATTAAGGAGGCTGCCAGTCTAATGACGGGAATTCAGTGTGCAGTAGCTTTAGCTCACATGTAGAAAATTTCATATTTCAACTCTTTAACGATCCAGTGGTATTTGGGAGAAAAATGTACACAGGACAGAACGTATCGGGTTCTGAACATTTTTATTGAACACAGGGGGCGCTAGAGGTGATTTTTTGAAAACCCTATTCATTCTGGCCATAGAGAAATGGAGCTCAGACCCGGAGTTCCTAATATGGGCATAAGAGCGCTGACTACAAGATGACGACACGACTACAGTGGTCTATGCAGCTGAGTGAAGATGAAATTATGGCAAGAACAGCAATGCTACACACATGAACAGCACAGAGCTTCAGCGGACATGAGACTGTAGCTCCATAATGACTCAGTGTTAGCACTGAAAGCTGCTCAAAAAACACAACCAGATGACGAACTGACAGTTAAACATCACTGTTCGCTCCTAACAGACTCACTTTAACTGGTTTACATGTATATTCTCTATATAACTGGATTCTGCCCTCACTAGCAGGCCGCAGGTAGCAGAAACTAGCTGGCTAACAGGCTAACGCTACAATAACAAAAGAGATACTTTACATTTACCCTTTTTAATAAAGCTTTACTTAAAAACAGAGACATAGAAAAATTAAAAACTGTGACCTGTATTCCTGTTATGAGCCTAAAACGTCTGTATTTAAACATAAAAATCCCAAATAGCGCCGAACTAACCCCGCTAGCTTGATGCTAACAAAGCTAGCTTAACTGCCATGGTAAAAATACAAGGAGCATTACTGAAGCGCTGGTTCAAAAACAGATTTCTACATCAGACAGAAAGGGGATACTTCATGGCTCTCTGCCTGTATCTGATTCTCAGTGTAAACACAATTAAACAGATTAAACTAAGTGACTTTATTAGTGTGAATAATCAGTTTAGCTATAAATGAGATCTGACTGAAGCGCTCTCAGGTTCATGTTTCTGTTCACAGATCAATAAACAAAGCTGGCATTTGGCCAGACTAATACATGAAGTCAACCTAAGTATGATGTTCTATTTTTGAAAATAATCATATTTAAAATAGCATTTGGTTAAACGTCTACATGTGGTAAAAAATTGCAGTTAAAAAATCAGCCCCCTAGCAGAACCACTGCGGCCCACAGGCTGAAAACCACTGATTATCAAACGATGCAGTTGATTGTGATTGACTGCTTTCATCATTTGACAGTCCTGTTAACGACATACTTAATTAACAAGTTATGCTTTCATTGGGTTTACATTCTGTATCAATAGCTTCAAGTATGCAGTTCTGACTTTTTACTGTTTTGATGTCCAAAAAATGTCAAAATGGTTAAACCCACATTCCTTCCTTCTCCAATCACAGGTGAAGCTGGTGGTGATTGACAGCATCGCCTTTCCTTTCAGGCACGACTTTGACGACCTCTCTCAGAGGACCCGCCTCCTAAGCGGGCTCGGCCAGCAGCTAATCCAGTTAGCCACCGAGCACAGCGCCGCCGTATGAGCTTCTATAGCACACTCATACTGTACAATACATGTCTCTCTCTTTTTCTCTCTCTCTATGTCTCTCTACCTCTATTTCTCTGTCTCTGTCTCTCTCTCGATCTGTCACTGTCTCTATTTCTCTCTATCTCTCTCATTCGCTATCCCTCTCTTGTTCTCTCTCTCCCTCTCTATCTATGTATGTATCTATCTATCCTTCTCTCTCATTATCTTTCTCTCTCGCTGTCTTTATTTCTCTCTTTATTTCTGTCTCTCTCTTTTCATCTTTCTCTTGTTGTATCTATCTATCTGTATTTCTAGCCATTTCTCTCTCTCTCTCTCTCTCTCTCTCTCTCTCGCTCGCTCGCTCGCTCGCTTTCAGATTGTTGTGTTTGTTTGTTGTTAGGTGGTGCTGACCAATCAGATTACAACCAAAGTCTTAAATGGCCAATCCAAGCTGGTTCCTGCTTTAGGTAATCTTTACTGTCTTAAACTGTGTGTGTGTGTGTGTATATGTGTGTACACAGTAGCTACATAATGTTCATTTAACATATCGCTGCTGTTGGAACAAAACCTTGTATCTCCATTTTCGTCATTTTTCTGTTTTTGGCATAGTTTTAAAATGACTGTTACTCTTTACATTGTGTGTGAATTTCATGATGAATGGACCAAAAGAAACGACCCAAAATGACTTTTAAAAAAGTCTGGTTCCATTGACTTACATTAAAGGTAAAGTAGGTTTTTTCCTTCTCCTGTAAAGTTACTACTTTGGAGATACAAAGTTTTGTTCCGATAACAGCAATATGCAGTAGCTACTTAAGGTTTAGTTAACATATTCAATAGCTACATTATGTTCAATTAACATATTCTGTAGCTGCTTAATAATATATAATAAATAATAGATTTAACAGCTAATATTCAGCAGCTGTGCTCAGCAGAGCTCCAGTGCGTGTGCTCATGTTTTGGCCACAATAAAATTTCCAGCCTATTTGAAAACATAAAGATGTTGTGGTGTATTGTTTATATTTTCTGTGTAAATAATTACATTTAGTCAGGTTTTGACATATTTTTTAAAAAGTAAGTCTGAATTGTACCATAACAATGAAATCAAATCTGGGTGAAATTTGATGTTTTGTCTTGTTTTTGTTTTGTTTTTTTGTTTTTCAGGTGAAAGTTGGGGTCATGCAGCTACACAGAGGCTGATCCTGCGCTGGGACGGAGCTAAAAGGCAGTTATCTTTTACTCATATTTTAGAGACTGTCTTCTTTTGTGAGGTTGAGTAAAGTATTGATTAGATAAAGCAGGTATTGATGATAACTAATTGGATAATTGTTTTCAGGGTCCGGGGGGTCTAAGAGGTTATTTTAGACTCCCAGCACCCCCTGTATTTCACGCCTTGTTCTCAGGTGTGTAAAAGGTAAGCACAGTGTGTAATACACACACAGAGACATGCAGCACTCTTAGCTTGTCTGCTGGTTCTGAATGTGCAGCCTGACGCAGCAGAACGGAGCGGGTGGAGTTGGGTTCGGCGCTCTGCTCCAGCGCTGGCTCCGCTCTCGAGTAGTGAGCGCTGTTGGCAGAGGAAGCGAGAGAGCATTACGTAAAAACTCTCTACCCTTCACCTCTGTGGGAGAGAGAGTGAATCACTTTACTCCAAAAACTGCTTTAACTTCTGCACACCATCTTCATCGCCCTCACACCGTCACTGCGCTCATCACCCAGCAACAGCGGCACTGAATATACCTCTCTCTCTCACTATATCTCTCTCTCTCTCACTATCTCTAGTTCTCACTCTAGCTCTCTCTCTCTCTCTCTCTCTCTCTCTCTCTCTCTCTCTCTATCTCCAGTTCTCTCTAGCTCTCTCTCTCTCTCACGTCTCTCACTCCATCTCTTTCATTCTCTCATTTATCTCTCTCTCTCTCACTTTCTCTCTAGTTCTCACTCTAACACTCTCTGTCTCTCTCTCCCATCTCCTCTCACTCTATCTTTCTTTCTCTTATTTATCTTTCTTTATCTCTCCTTTCTCCCTCTTCCTCTCTCTCTCACACTTTCTCTCTAGTTCTCATTCTAACACTCTCTCTCTCTAGTTCTCACTCTAGCTCTCTCTCTTTAGCTCTCAAATTCTGTCACTCTCTCTCCCCCTCCCTCTCTCCTTTCTCCCTTTTTCTCTCTATCTCACTCTCTCTCTTCTCACCCCATCTCTTTCTTTCTCTCATTTATCTGTCTTTATCTCTCCTTTCTCTGTCTTTCTCACTCTGTCTCTAGTTCTCACACTCTCTGTTGCTCTTTCTCTCTCTGTCTTTCTCTCTAGCTCTCACTCTGTTTCTATATCTCTGTCTCTCCCATCTCCTCTCACTCTTTCTCATATTTATGTCTTTATCGCTCCTTTCTCCCTCTTCCTCTCTCTCTCTGTCACACACACTTTCTCTCTAGTTCTCACTCTATCTCTCTCTCTCTCTCCCTCCCTTTCTCTTTCTAGCTCTTACTCTAACTTTCTCTACCTCTGTTGCTCTCTCCCTTCTCTCACTCCATCTTTCTTTTTTATTTAGCTCTCTCTATCTCTCCTTCTCTCTCTCTCTCTCTCTCTCTCTCTCCCTCCATCTCTGTCTCTCACTTCACTTTCTTCCTCTCAGTTCTTTCCATCCCCCTCCTCTCTCCCGCCTTCTTTTTCTCTCACTTTCTTCTCTCTCTTTATCCTTTCTTTATATCTTTCTCTCTTTACTCCATAAATCTCTCTCTCTCCCTCCCCGAGTGATAAAGCTCAAGGTCTCCTCACATCATTTTCTCCGAATCTGGAACGCTGCTCGAGCAATAAACACACAAGGTCACCGCAAAGGAACTCGGTGCGATCGTCCACTTATGGAGATGAACTGCATCTGGAGGCCTCACGGTGGGCTCAGGGTGGGCTCACGGTGGGCTCTGCTGCGCTGCTGTAGCGCTACAGAGAGCATAAAGCTGCAGAGTTAAAGGGACAGTCCAGCCAACAATCAGAATTCACACAGAAACCACATGATCAGGTCTATGAGAGGTTAAAGAAGAGCTGCACGCGCTCTGAGACGAGTGGAACACGGGAAAAATAGATTCGTTTTAATAAACGATCCCTTTAAATTCACCTGTTCGCTGTTTCTGTAGGTTGGCGTCTCTCTTCAAGTCCCCGAGCCAAAAGGAGGCCACTGTGGAGTATCAGATCACGGTAAGTATATTAATAAAGGGAATAATTTCAGTAACATCAGCTGTGAATAAATCAAATGTATGAAATACTGCTGGTATTGTTGTGTTCAGCGCTGCAGCGGTTCCTGATTTAAAGATGTAGAAGCTGTGAAGTGAGCGCGACTGTCGGCCGCCGTACCTGTGGATCTGATTTAGGTCGTCATGTTTGGCCTAATTTCTGTCCCTTTTTCAGGGTCAAGGTTTCAGAGATTCCAGCGTTCCAGCTGAAGCTCAGCCCTGCAGCCCCGCGGCAGCAAACCACAGCAAGCGACCGCGCACGGCAGAGCAGCGCCGTTAAGGAACCCTTTCAGAACAGTACTTTTATTAAAAAGATGGTTCTTCAAGGGTTCTTTAGTAAAGGGAATGGTTCTATATAGAGCCATGAACACTGAAAGAAGCATTTGCATGCTGTATAGTGAAATGGTTCTTCAGACTGATGGAGAATGTGTTGTGGATAGAACCTTTTCAAAAAGGGGTTCTGCTGTTGTGACAAGCTTGACGTCGTAACAATCAAAGAACCTTTTTGTTGCTATATGGAATAATTGTCGAAAAGGTTCTACACCCTTAAAAAGATGGTCCTTCAAGGGTTCTTTAATAAAGTGAATGGTTCTATATAGAGCCGCGAACACTCAAAGAACCATCTGCATGATTAAATGGTTCTTTGCATGGTGAAATCGTTCTTCAGATTGATGGACAACGTGTTGTGTATGGTTCTTATATAGAACCTTTTTGAAAAGGTTTCTATATAGCACCAAAAAGGGTTCTGCTGTTGTTACACTGTCAAGTTTGTTACAATAGAAGAATCCTTTTTGGTACTAAGTAGAACCATATACAACACATTCTCCATCAATCTAAAGAACCTCTTCAACATGCAAAAAAAACAGTTAAGCATATAAATGGTTCTTTAAGTGTTCATGGTTCTGTATAGAAACATTGCCTTAACTAAAGAAACCTTGAAGAACCTTCTTATTGCACTTTCACAAAAATATACAATAAATCAGAGATCGCTACACTCAAAGGTGGTTCTTTAGTGAAGGGTTAGAAACATAGGTTCTCTGTAGAACCATTACATGCTTAAATGGTTCATTGCATGGTGAAATGGTTCTTCAGATTGAAGGAGAATGTGTTGTAGCATCAAAAACGGTTCTGTTATTGTTATAAGCTTGACATCGTAACGATAGCAGAACACTTACTGGTGCTGTATATTATGGAGCCCTGCTGGTGACATCTCATAAATAAAAATAGTGCGTGGAATGAGATCCTAATGCATGGCCACGACTTAGTAAGGTGTGGGAATGAGATAATTAAGTCGTGGCCATGACTTACTAAGGTGTGGGAACAAGATCCTAATGTGAGGTCATGGCTTAGTAAGGCAAAATCTCGTTCCCATGTCTTATTAAGTCATGGCCACAACTTAATTACCTCATCCCCATGCCTTACTAAGTCGTGGCCACGCATTAGGATCACGTTACCATGCCTTACTAAGCTGTGGCCACGACTTAATTATCTTATTCCCACGCTTTACTAAGTCGTGGCCACGTATTATTTGTGTTTATACAGGATGTCACCAGCAGGGCTCCGTACCATAGAACCATTTTCAGAAAGGTTCTATATAAAGAACTGAAGAATGTGAAGAGTGTATCCAGTCTAAAAAGGTATTGAATTAACCTGACTGGAATATGTGCATCATTTCAACATTAATAAATCATCTTATTAACACAGTTATTATCAACAGTCAGTAAACTGACAGAAACTGTGTTGGTGTAATAGGTTTTATTTTAAGTGTAAGTTCAGTAAGTCTTTCTTCTGATAATGACGAGTTATTAATGAAGTGTGTAATTTACATTGTTCTGCAGATAACTGTTTTTATTAATACACCTTTTTCACTGAAACTTTGTATCAGATTATTTATTTCTGATATTAAAGCAGTAACTGCTCTTTATTACTCAAGATACACCGATCAGGCCTAACATTATGACCACCTCCTTGTTTCTATGCTCATTGTCCATTTTATCAGCTCCACTTACTATATAGGTGCACTTTGTAGTTCTACAGTTACAGACTGTAGTCCATCTGTTTCTCTGATACTTTGTTAGCCCCTCTTTTACCCTGTTCTTCAGTGGTCAGGACCCCCATGGACCCTCACAGAGCAGGTACTATTTGGGTGGTGGATCATTCTCAGCGCTGCAGTAACACTGACGTGGTGGTGGTGTGTGTGTGTTGCGCTGGTCTGAGTGGATCAGACACAGCAGTGCTGCTGGAGTGAGAGTCACCTGCTCTGTGAGGGTCCATGGGGGTCCTGACCACTGAAGAACAGGGTAAAAGGGGGCTAACAAAGTATCAGAGAAACAGATGGACTACAGTCTGTAACTGTAGAACTACAAAGTGCACCTATATAGTAAGTGGAGCTGATAAAATGGACAATGAGCGTAGAAACAAGGAGGTGGTCAGAATGTTATGCCTGACTGGTGAAAATGTGATGAAAATACAGCACTGCGCTGAAATCAGAGCCCTTCGTTTATTTGATTTCCAGTCAGAACAGCCTAAAAACCCAGAGAACCTAAACCTGTTTTCTTTCTAATGCGGTTAGTATTGGTCTTGCAGGTAGACAGTAAACATGTACTAATTAAACCCTTTTTATAATGTTCCACTGACCAATAAATGACCGATATATTTCACCATATTTTTCTCCTCTTGATGTGAACTGGGTCCTAATCACAAGGTTGCATCTCTGGCTCCGCCCACACAGAGCAGTTTCAGAGTCAGAGAAGTTCAGCAAGCTAGCCCACCTGTGGCTGCCTGTCGCTCGTTCACTCGTCCATTCCTTTATAAACATGTTGATTTGTCCGTCTGTCTGCACGTCTGTCCGTCCGTGACCTTTTCATCCAGTTAGCATCACATAAAAGCTAGATCATGATTTCGGTTCTGTATGAGGGGCGGAGCTGGCTAGGAGTGTTGGACAGAGAGCTGTCAATCAAGTAGCTCATTAGCCACGCCCACACAGCTCTCAGATAGGGCCGATTAGTCGTGTTTTAGCATATTTGTATCATATTTTTCATTCAAGGTTTGCTAGATGCGTTATATAACGTTCATGTTTAGTATCATACAATCATTTTTAATAGTTTGTGTTCTCTGGAAATTTAAGTACAACTTATTCGTTTTTTTAGACAAGCCGAAAACATATACTTGCCATAAAATTACCCAGAAGCCTCGACAACAAGATGTGTCAGTGTTTAGTGTGTCCGCTCTTCACCCTCATTACAGCTTCCATTCTTCTCAGGAGACTCACTTTCAGTTTCTCTGCAGACTCACCTCCAAAGTTCAGTCTTAGAAGCTGGTTGATGATTTTCTGAAGTAATCAAACACATTCAGTGGTGTTGAGGTCTGGACTCTGGGGTGGTCAGTCCATCGTTCAGCTTTGTTTGATGTGTCCGTCTCCTTTTCTCAGTGAGGTTCTTCTTGACAGCTACACATCCTTTCAGACCCACAGCGCTGAGTCGTCTTCTCACAGTGGAAGGATGGACAGAAACACCTGTGGATGTTTTCAGATCTGATCAGCTTGATTTTCTCCTCTCTCTCAGAGATGAAAGCTTTAAGTGCTGTTTATCTGATGGGGGCAGTTTTGGGGTCGACCAGGTCTTTGAGGTGGTTGTTAGGAGCCCCATTTTCTCTGGAGCTTCTAATCAGTTTTGGAACTCTAAACTTCAAGCAGATTATTTTAAATCTAATCTCAGAAATATCTCCTCCAAAATGAATAACTTGTACTTAAATAAATGAAAGGGTCTCTGATTCTGCGCAGTGCTGTTACCGTATATGTGTACGCGTCTGTGAAAGTGCGGTTGATGTATCTCTTTAATTGAATTATACCCTGGAAAGCCAGCAGTGTATCAGCACGCAGGGCATGTGGGTAAAATATGAGCACTTTATCTAATATATCCTTGGCCGGAGGAGCGTAAAGGGCTGGCAAGAAATTCACTCAATATCTCTGACCAGAGAAGCGGGCAGTGCATTCTTCATTTTAATATATTACCTTATTTATGCAGTACTTTACTTATTCATACGTGGATTCTTCTAGGCTGCTGTATTGACCTACACATGGACTTCGGTGGACATCGCTGGAAGGACAATAAGACAAACCAAACCTGCAAACAAAACAGAAACTCACTGTACACTTTTACTTTCTAATTGCTCAGTCCAGGCTCCGCCCACCAGTGTGTTCTTTCGTGACTACTGTTGCTATGTTGGACACGTTTTACAGAACGCTGGTAAAAATATCATTCGGCCTAATGAGAAACTGTAGAACAGACTCAGTTTATATCACAATACCTACATTTAGAGTCAGTTATTCATTCAGCCTAATGAGAAACTGTAGAACAGACTCAGTTTATATCACAATACCTACATTTAGAGTCAGTTATTCATTCAACCTAATGAGAAACTGTAGAACAGACTCAGTTTATATCACAATACCTACATTTAGAGTCAGTTATTCATTCAGCCTAATGAGAAACTGTAGAACAGACTCAGTTTATATCACAATACCTACATTTAGAGTCAGTTATTCATTCAGCCTAATGAGAAACTGTAGAACAGACTCAGTTTATATCACAATAATGTAGGTATTGTGATATAAACTGAATCTGTTGAACAGTTTCTCGTTGTGTTTAATGTGATTTTTTTCCAGCATTCTGTAAAACAACAGCAACAGTAGCTACGAAAGACCTCATTAGTGGGCGGAGCCTCGATAGATCAATTTAATTGTGATCAGTGTGAGAGAAGTTGGACAAACCCTGGGTAAACTGAAAAGATTCATTCTGAGCTGATCAGTGTGTCTATTGACTGCCCAGTTTGTGTTTCCATGTGGTCAGGATGACCATACGCAGCTCTTAATCTGCCTATAATGCAATTAATCATTATTTTTAGCCCTTTTAGCAGAGTGGGAGTAAATTCTAATGGGGTTAATAACTGAGCTGATTATCTGGCAACCTCTGTTTAACGCAAAAACACTCAATAGAACAGCAGCAGAACAGTTAATTCCCAGCAAGGCCGAAATCTGCAACAGTTATTTTTAGCCAGAGCTCTGATGTCCTATATACACTCACACTCACTCAGCTATAGAGCTTCACTTGTGGAGCTTTTCCAGCAATAATCACCGAACCACACGGGCCGCTTTTAGAGTTTGGAGTGAGAGCCGTTCGCCGGTAATGTTCATTAAACGCTCCACACGACTCCCACTATTGCTCTGTCACAGCCAATTAGCCGACAGATTTCTGTAGTTGTTGGAAACTGCTTCTGACTTTCATGTGGGTCCATTTTGTATGAAATGTTAGCAGGATGAGATGTCCACTCACTGGCCACTTTATTAGAAACACCTTGCTTCCACTCACTGGCCACTTTATTAGAAACACTTTGCTTCCACTCACTGGCCACTTTATTAGAAACCCCTGCCTTAGCATCTTTTGATGCTGTCATCTTCTAGCCTTTCATCTGTGGTTGGTTTCTGACCTCAGAGTCTGGATATTTCTGTGTAATGGACCACTCTCAACATACAACTGACGTGTTTCTAATAAAGTGGCCAGTAGAAGCAGAAGGTCAGTGTTTCTAATAAAGTGGCCAGTGAGTAAAAGCACAGGGTGGGTGTTTCTAATAAATTGGGCAGTGAGTGAAAGCACGAGGTGGTGTTTCTAATAAAGTGGCCAGTGAAAGCACAAGGAGGGTGTTTCTAATAAAGTGGCCAGTTATTGGAAGCACAAGGTGAGTGTTTCTAATAAAGTGGCCAGTGAGTGAAAGCACAAGGTATGTGTTTCTAATAAAGTGACCAGTGAGTAGAAGCACAAGCTCAGTATTTCTAATAAAGTGGCCAGTGAAAGCACAAGATAGATGTTTCTAATAAAGTGGCCAGTGAGTAGAAGCACAAGCTCAGTATTTCTAATAAAGTGGCCAGTGAAAGCACAAGATAGATGTTTCTAATAAAGTGGCCAGTTATTGGAAGCACAAGGTAGGTGTTCCTAATAAAGTGGCCAGTAAAAGCACAAGTAAGGTGTTTCTAATGAAGTGGCCAATGAGTTAAAGCACGAGGTGGTGTTTCTAATAAAGTGGCCAGTGAGTAGAAGCACAAGGTGAGTGTTTCTAATAAAGTGGCCAGTGAGTGTAAGCACAAGGTGAGTGTTTCTAATAAAGTGGCCAGTGAGTGTAAGCACAAGCTGAGTGTGTTTCTAATAAAGTGGCCAGTTAGTGAAAGCACAAGGTAGGTGTTTCTAATAAAGTGGCCAGTGAGTGGAAGCACAAGTTGGGTGTTTCTAATAAAGCGCTGGGTGAGTGAAAGCACGAGGTCAGTGTTTCTAATAAAGTGGCCAGTAAGTGTATCCAGGCTTAACCTGTCCAGGTAAGCGGACTCAGGTAAACGGTTTGAGGTGACGATTAGCTCCATGTTAAGCTGGGCCACTATGAGCGCAACCGATTGTCCTGATTTACACTAAATGTACAGGAACTGATCAGGGCTGCTGATGTAACGAGCTCTCATTATGGATGATGTAATGTGAAAATATCACTTTGAAGCACCAAAAACAGCGGTGTTGTGTACATGTTTAACATATATTTACAAATAATCTACATAAGCTGTAATAAACATACATTGGTCTATAATACAGTGTAATAAACACACCGAACCGCATTTATATATTTAGATAAATAGATTTGATGCACCGCGTGACGTCACGCATTAAAGTGCCGCTTCAGTACAACCCCACCTTCTCACACACACACACACACACACACACACACACAGAGGCGCTCCCCGGGGTTTTAAAAATACATTCTTGCACGCGTGCACGCGCTCTCGCCTGATTGGCGGAGGCATGGTCCGGTGGGCGGGGTTTATCTATATTTTCACCCCCCCCCCCATCCCTTGCCCTCTCCCTCCGCTCTGACGTCACCGCAGCCCATTACGCGAGTCTCCGTGCGCGCCACCTGGTGAGTGTGTGAGTGCGCGCGTGTGTGTGAGTGTGTGTGTGAGTGAGAGCGAAAGAGCGAGAGTGCCGCGCGCGCTCCTGCTCATGACTCAAAAGTAGCAGAGACTCTTCATCCCCCGGCTCTCTCTCTCTCTTCCTCTCTCTCTGCCTCTCTCTCGCTCTCTCTTTCTTTCTTTCTCTTTTTCCTCTCTCTCTCCTTCTCTCTCTCCGGGAATGAGAAGCGATGGCCGCGTGCGGCAGCGAGGAGAAAACCTACCGGCGTTTCCTGGAGCTTTTCTTGCGGGAGATGAGGCCTCCGCTGCCCGAGGACGGCCCTCTTCCCACCCGGCCCTTATCGGACTCTGTGGCGGAGGATGAAGTGGAGGGAGAGACCCTGGACCTGTGCCTGCAGCACCTCTGCAAATAGTTGAGTAACGATCAGCTTTTTTTGGGGGGGTGGGGGTGAAATAGTCTAATTAATTTAATTAATGCAATTATACAGCGCATTATAAGTGACATTCAGGTACAGCAGTAGTACAGCAGTGTGTTTTCACTCTCTCCTCCAGCAGAAGTGAACTAGGTAGGTGACATTCAGGCCAAAGCAGCCATCTGGCCAATGCATTCATCAATACAGTACAAGGCATTATGGGTGAACACAGGAGGTGGCATTTAGGCTAAAACCCACCTCTCCAAAATGCATTTGTTCCTAGGAGAGTAGAGAGAGATGACACCCATTCAAACAGCTTAACACCAGTACCGGTATGTGACCCTCAGGCAATAAAAACAGATCAATAATAATAATAATAATCTTCAAAATCCTGTGCACTCACTTTGTCTGCTTGTTTGAAGTCTCCGTTCCACCTTAAGTGGTGTAGGAGGCACATTCTGGCTCCTCAATAATAATCTGCAAAAATCCTGTGCACTCACTTTTGGCTGCTTGTTCGAATTCTCCGTTCCACCTTAAATGGCGCAGCAGTTGCATTCTGGCGCCTGGCGCCAGAATGCAACTGCTGCGCCATTTAAGGTGGAACGGAGAATTCGAACAAGCAGCCAACTCCAGCCTCGTCTTTTCGCACCGAGGTGGATGAAAAACATGCTAAATGTGCACTCACTCGTATAAACGATGCCCCTACACTTTGTGCATGCTCCGCCAATTAAGGTGGAACGGATAATTCCAACAAATCCAGCTTCGTCTTTCCGCACCGATGTGGATGGAAAAACATGCTGAAAGTGCATTCACTCTTACAAACGATGCCTTTGAGCCCTCGTGCATGCGATGGACACAGCTGGGGGCTATAATCACTAACTTATCGCTGTCTTATAGCATGCACAGCGTAGGCTTATGTCAAGTGCTGCACTTGCATTCGCCCTCGTGCCCTTTCTCAGGTGCCCCTGGGGGTAAATCCCCATCTTTTGCGTCACCGTTTTGATGAAGGTCGGTGGTCTTCCTCATCACCTCCCTCCATTCACTTATTCATTCATTCATTCACTGGGAGGACATGGTTGCGGTCAGAGTCGTGCAGTGTGGATGATGTCTGTCGGTCAGGGTGATGAATAAAGGCTAGAGATGATCTTTATTCCTTTTATTTTTCATGCATATTGGCGGTTACCTTTCGTTTTCCTTCGCCATTGCCGTCTGTGAAGACGCGCTCGGGGGATATGCGGTTTTTTCTCTTCCCGCCCGTTTTCCGTCAAGCCACGCCCCTCCCGCGCCGTGATTGGCCACTAGTTCGAACATCATAGTTCTATTTATAGATCTACATGTAAATATATGCGCATAAGAACGAAATTATGTGTGTGGAATGCATAGAAATGTCAAATATATGTTTATATACGAGCGAATAAAAATTAAGGAGGTGAAAATTTTTTATTTTAACGCAGAAAGGCGGGGCTTGCCTGTGGAATATAAATACTAGCCAATGGAAAACTAAGAGGCGAGATTTTCAGCCAATCACAGCGCAGGAGGCGGCACTCCAAGCCAATCCCGACGCGGTTTGCCGCAATACCGGTGGAAGAAGAAAAAAAGCCGTTAGTCTCGGTTGTAAAGCGTCATATCGCGATAAACTGATTTCTGCGCGAGATCTGAGGGTGCATTTTATAAAAACGTCACTCCAGTTTCTAAAATTAGATCATGAAACTCACCAAACATCGTGGTCAGAGCAGGAAAAGCGTGAAATAGGCCTGGACATTAATTAAGACCATGTGCTACGTCTAATGCCAGCCTTATTATTCAGTTATTAATCTTAAAGCATATTATTCAGCAGCTATTATGAAATATTCAGCAACTACTATGAAAGTGGTGCAGTTGTGAGAGTGAGGAATGGCAGCCTGGAGCTGCGGTTCTCGTTCCAGAAGCAGGTGGTTCCTGAAAGCGTTCTCCATTTCAACTAATTCATTTTACATATTATATAATATAACATATTATATAACATAATATAACATTATTCAGCAGTTATTTCATACATGCACCTTTTTAGAGACTGTGGGACTCTTGAAAAAGATGCCTCTTCAAAAAAGGTGGTTCTTTAGTAATGACAGTGGTTCTATTTAGGACAATGAGTGCTATATAGAACCTTTCGCATGCTTGAATGGCTCTTTGCATGGTGAAATGGTTCTTCAGATTGATGAAGAATGTGTTGTATATGGTTCTTTTTTATATAGCACCAAAAAGGGTTCTGCTATTGTTAATAGCTTGACATCGTAGCAATAAAAGAACCCTTTTTGGTGCTGTACAGAACCATTTTCAGAAAGGTTATATATATATAGAACCATACACAACACATTCTCCATCAATCCACCATGCAAAGAACCATTTAAGCATGAAATGGTTCTATTTGAAATAGAACTATTCTCTTTACTAAAGAACCATTGAAGAGTCATATTTTTTAGCTACACACATAAAAATGGTTCTTCAAGGGTTCTTTAGGAAAGAAAATGGTTTTATATAGAACCATGAACACTCAAAGAACCCTTTGCATGATTAAAGAGTTCTTCGCATTGTGAAAGTGTTCTTCAGATTGATGAAGAATGTGTTTTATATGGTTCTTTATAGAACTTTTTTGAAAATGGTTCTATATAGCAAGGGTTCTGCTATTGTTACAATCTTGACATCGTAACTGTAAGAGCCCTTTGGTGCTTTATAGAACCATTTTCTGAATATTTTGACATTTTCATATACCTGATTCTGTATAGAACCATTGTCTATACTAAAGAACCCTCAAAGAACCATCTTTTTTAAGATTGTTCCATTAACATCACATTTTTCACCAGTTATTTCATACATGCGTGTGTTTTTTTGAGATGGTGGGACACCACTCTTAATCAAGATGGTTCTTTAAGGGTTCTTTAGTAATGAGAAAGGTTCTGTTTAGAACTATGAGTTCTATATAAAACTCTTTGCATGCTTGAAAGGTTCTTAGCCAGGTGAAATGGTTCTTCAGATTGATAAAGAATGTGTTCCATATAGATCCAGGTATATGAAAATGTCAGACAGTGGTTCTATACAGCACCAAAAAGGGTTCTGCTGTTGTTACAAGTTCGACATCCTAACAATAGAGGAACCATTTTGATGCTGTGTAGAACCATTTTCAAAATATTTTGACGTTTGAATATACCAGGTTCTATACAGAACCATTGTCTTTACTAAAGAACCCTTGAAGAACCATGTACAGGACTGTACTCTTAAAAAGATGGCTCTTCAAGGGTTCTTAAGTAAAGACAATGGTTCTGTATAGAACCTGGTATATTCATTTAACATCATGTTTTTAGAGACCGTCAGACATCACACTTAAACAAGAGGGTTCTTTAGTAAAGAGAATGGTTCTGTTTAGAACTATGAGTTCTATATAAACCCTTTGCATGCTTGAATGGTTCTTTGCAAGGTGAAATGGTTCTTCAAAGAAGATGAACCCTCAAAGAACCATCTTTGTAGGTTCCATTAACATCATATTTTTTACCAGTTATTTCATACACGCATGTTTTTTTCGAGACTGTAGGACTCCCTCTTATAAAAGATGGCTCTTCAAGGGTTCTTTAACTAAGGCAGTGGTTCTATTTAGAACCTTGAGTTCTATGTGGGGACCATTTGTATGCTTAAATGATTCTTTGCATGGTGAAGTGGTTGTTCAGATTAATGGAGAATGTGTTGTATATGGTTATTTATCCTCCTGAGACCTGGTGATTAATTCGCGTCCTCTGTGGGGGACATAAGTCCCCAAAGGACGTTTCAAAGCCATATAAGCTACAGTGCTGAAACCTGGTGTGCCATGTAGAGACACCCTGGCCTTTACAGTGATGTATGATTTGTTGGGGTGAGTCGATCACAACAGGAGTTCTGCCTCTTCGAAATGGCTGCCGTCTCAGCAACCACATTTTATGGCAGCGAGAGAAATAAGTTGTTGAAAAATATGCATTAATGATGCTTCTAAAGCCTATAGTTGATCTGTTTTCAGAGCAGTTCTTTATTGATATGCATAAAAGTTTAACCACCTAACAGTAGACTTTTTTTGATGGGGACAGTGGAACTAACCAGAAATCTATGGTATCACAGGTGACAGGAATTCGACTGAGGCAGAGGAAATTAAAGGATGATCTCATCCCTTTTAGGGTTAGAAGCAACAACACGTAAGCTGAGCAGTTAAACACATCACTGTGCTTTACTGGATCTATTCTATTTCTTTTTGGTCCTCATTTTTTTGTACCGCCAGTATTTTAAGTATAACTTTTACTGCTAAATGGACAGCTGGAATAAGTCTATGCAGGCGTTTAATCTCAGGATCTGAGCTTTATTTAATTTCCTAATTTATTCAAAAATCTCCTTTTAGGTAATTGTACATTTAAAAATTAAAAATTAAATAAAATTGAAACATTAAAAATAAATGAATTCTCTTCCTTCTGCATTCATACCTAAGATTCATCCCTACTATTGAACAGTTTGCTGCTAAATGACACCCAAAGCTGAACTGACTGGGTGCCCTGGGTTTACTCTGAGCAGCACAGTGATGATCAGGACTTTGAAGACTGATGACGAGGTTTTTGAAGTTGATGCTGATGTTGAAAGGCTTTGGTCTGATGCAGTAAAGGAAACAAGAAATATGACATCAAAGTAATTACTATCCAATGTCCTGTTGTCCACTGTAAAGGTCATTACATAAAAAATAAATAAAAAGTATTTTTGAAAAAAAAATGCTAATTCTGCTAATAGACTTATTTTATCCTAAAATTACAGAAATCCTCAAACTTTAATTTTTCTGGGTCTCAGGAGGATAAAGCGCCGAAACGGGTCCTGCTGTTGTTACAAGCTCGACATGGTAACAGTAGAAGGACCCTTTTTGGTGCTATATAGAATCTTAAAGATCTCTGAACAGATTAATTTCCATTGCTAAAGAACCTTTAAAGAACCATCTTTAGGAGTGCACTAAAGCTCT